GGTTACTGATGCCATCGGAATTGGAACTCTTCGCTTGCTATTGAAGATGGGGACGGAGCACTTATGGAAGTATCCCGAGTGCTGTGATGTCGATTCTTAATTCAACATACAACATTTATTTTTGCTTTTTTAACGGTATATATTAAATGCGCTAAAGTAATACATGAAGGATACTGTGAATCACTGTACGTTTAAAAAAAATGGGAAGGGGTCTCTTAAGGGTAGGTGAATGGGTGCTAGCAAGATCAGGTAAAGTATAGGAGCCTTTTCCACGCCTTTAGACGTATTGGGTATATAGGGCTAGACATATATTTTATAGACCAAACTGCACTTGGTGGGGGATATGGTCAGCATCACACCGGCCGCCTTTAATTCCCAGGACTGTACCTGGTACCCACTCAAGGCTGGGTCGACCTGGGAGCCAAGGTCATTTTAAAAAAAAGTTCAACCTATGTCAGGCTTGAACCCACAACCCTCCGTCAAGCCGCTAGACTACTGTGACTCTCTAGCAAGATCAGGTCATGAATGGAATCTAGTCTAGCCTCGAGGAAATGGGTATCAGAGTTAACACTCTGGGGTAAATGGAGGAACGTCGCTGTAGCTACTGAGTTTCGGCGACACAGGCGGGAAGTTTCTTATGAGTTTCCTGTACTGGTGGCAGAGCACATATATAACCGTGTGAAATGACGCTGGTTCACATCTCCCGACTTTACCTTTTGCCTTTTTTATACATCAAAAACCCGCTGAGGAAATATCCTACTATGACAATCATTGATTCGAATATCTGTCGTCCGAAAGTCCTTCGAAACTGCTTATTAGGCTCGATTGTCCCCCAGTCAAGGGTCCTACAGCATAACATCAATCCACCATAGAATGTCCAACTGTTTGATAAAGTTCAAATGCTCGCTACCTGCTATTGGCTCCTCTCGTCTGAGTGTCGAGCTACAAAAATAGGGTGGGATGCCTGATGCATGCTTTTCCTTGCTGTTGTGCTAAATATCCTTATGCAACTACCGTAAAGGTGTCTAACGTGCTGAGTAAGATTTTGCCTATATTTGTAGTCATCGAAGTACCTGATGTGCGGACTGCTTCCTGGTGATCTCTTAAAGGCGCGGGTTGTGATAAGTTGGAAACTCAACATACGTATGTGAAGTTAAGCTGTCATGTGGAGGACGTCACAATTTCTTGGATAAGCCCAGGACCAGAGCGTCATGTTTCGCCGCCTCTGCATTTATGGAAGCCTACTTGAATGGCGATGAATGTCCTGGTTCTGTCCCTGGTTGCCTTTGAGAGGTGACAAGTCTGCGCATGTCTGTCTTTAAGGGATTTTCTAAGGGCAACACATCTTCGTCATGTCTCCAAATGGCTGCAGTCATCCTAGCGAGAGAATCGACCTCTTCCTTAGAAGTCGGAGTACAGCTACTCGAGACACAAGAAACAACAAACTACGCACAAATAAACAAGTAAAACCGACGTACACGCAAAAACTAGATCCTGTTACAGAGCCAAATTCCAAAAGGACGAACAACTAAGACTTTCCGAAGTTCACAGACAGTGAGCGCAAACAAACTTCTTTGGTGGTTGAACGGACATCTGGGATCTACTTTGTTGGTCTGTCATCCAGACTGAGATTTTGCTTTTGGGCCTCAGGACAGTATGGTAAACGTTAGGCAGCAGCCCGGAGAGGACAAACCGATTGATAGATCAATATGCTCCATGGGCTAAGGGGGGAGGGCGAAAATATGAAAAGTTGAATTGACAATCGACGACACCCACAGACCGCCAGTAAAGACCGGGCGCCGATGGTCTTACCCAGAGTCCTCGTGCAACGCCGTCAGTCGAAAATCATTGTGTCTCATTTTGTGATCCAGGAGAGATAATCTACTTTTGATAAACTTCGTAATGTTTGTAAATTATTCCCCGTGTCTTCGTGAAATTGTTTGCTCGCTAGTATATATGTGTGTGTCTATGTGTGTGAGTGTATGTGTTTTAAATACTTTAACGTGGCTACTAGGACGACTTAGCCTTACACTTTTACAAGGAAAAGTTATTGGAAGTAAAAGCGACCGTCGTGCTATTGGCTGTATAATTTTTTCCAGGACAGAATCGGTCTATAAGAATATGTATTTTGCATCATAGACCCCGCACACCAGTATTTTCCTAATAGTCAATACACTAGTCATCCCCTTGCGGGATGCGATTTTTCGTTATTTTAAAGCCCAACCCTGGCTATTGCCAGAGGCCGCAACATAGCCCGACCATAAATATTGTCTAATGGCTGAACTCTCCACGGGTGATCCTCATCCACATGTTGGCACTTTGTGTCATCGGGTGTTTATCGCTTTTGTGATATCCTAGTGTGGTAAAATATACTACTATTACTACACTAGTATTGGAGGTTCCGAGTTCAAGCCCCGGTGAAGGCTAAAATTTGTTCACGTGGAATTCTAGTAAAATTCGGCCAAAATTAGGAGTTAAAAATGTATTCTAGGTATTTCAGGATCCTCGCCAGTGCAATGGAGTTTGTGCATTGCGCTGAGATTCTTCGGACTCAGGCTTGAGTTAGAAGTAGAACAATTTACATTATTACAGATTTAAAAAATTGACGTGGCGACTAAGAAAGCCCTCATCAGCACATTACATGTAATGTAATTGGTAGTACCTCTGGTGTTGGGAGCGGGGGTCGTTATATCTTTTTCAGGGCAGCTTACCTGGCCAGGCGGTCAGCTCTCGTCTGTGGGTACCAGTAGCTGCCAGCATGCGGCAGCGGCCACCTCCCGAGAAACGACTTTGACAGGCCGGCTAACCCAGGTGAGGGTCCGTATAAACTGTTAGTAGCTTTCAAATGGAAGGGACAGCGTAAGGGACACGGTGAGGCACGTAGAACACCACTGCACCTGACTTTACCTTCAGGGGTAACTTAATCAACAATCTCTGGCTCTGGTCAGGGCCGTGCTATGCTACAGAAATCAAAATACAATCTGAACTTGTGACTGTAATTGGCAGGATTTCGAAGACTTGCATCGTACTGCACATGGCTATCTCTTGTCATGTCAATCACTTTGGTGCATAAATTGGGATGTCTACTAGAGTTATGTTAAGTTTCTGTAAAGCTTGCTTATCAGGTTTACTAGATGTGGCCATATGCTGCTTCACAGCTCCTCAAAGAGAGGACAGTCATACAAGATATGTTCTTGTCTTTATTCAGCTCGAAGACACTGGCAGAAAGTTGTTTTGCTCAAATCTAATTTATTTTAGTGTTTGTTGTGTATTCAATGTGAGCGGAAAATAATGACCGATGTTCAGATTGTACAAGACGCCAGAAGCCCTAAGTACCAAGAAAAAATAAAGAAAAAGAGTTCGTTTAGGCGGGGACTAGAAACATAAATATTCTAGTCCAGACAAGAAATCTATGTGTATAGCCTAGATCAGCCAAGCAACAAATAAACTAGGCACACTAACCACAAGTCCTAATCTGAAACAAAAACAACTGGAACTACGATTACCACATTGAACATCTGTTTATTTCACTTAACATAAAATCAGCGTGGTTCACAAATAACAATATTAACAACAACCAACGTGCTCGACCAGAATCTAAAGTGCTAGGCATCTCCGGCTAACAAGGAAATGTGATAATGACCAATACGCTCAGCGAGATTACCCCAACAATGGCAAAAACCGAAACATATTTAACATATACGCTAAGCTTCAATATGCCACCAAACCAACAAATCACTTATAGTGATCTGCCAGCCTAGCGAGAATACACCCTTACATATTACACAGTATAACTACTAGAGACTACTATTTCAGGACTAAATATGGAAACATACCACGGCCGCGAAATCAGCCTGACAACTGACTTTTCCCTGCAGTCGCCCATACCTATGCTGGCTAACCCAAGGTGCAGAGCCACAACAGCTGGATAGGTCTCTACAGGGTGCGTCCTGAAGTCAAAAAGACCCAAATAGCGAGTGAGCTGGCCTTTTTATGCCCAGTGGTCAGACTTTTCCGCTTTACTGTCTTAAACTAAAAGCTGTTCCTGTGGACTCTTGGTCATTTTTAAACCAGACTGAACCAAGATCGTCAAGCTTCTGGACAGCAGTCTTTGGCGTACTCCAGCCTTTTACAAGATGCTCAAAGAAATTTCCTACCCCCAAACACACACACACAAAATAATATCAAGTGTTTTTTGTTTGTTTGATTCGCTTTGTTTCTAACTTTTTTTCTAATTTCTTTAAAACAGGACACAATAGACTTCGAAGCTACATGTGCATACAATTTAGAATCGGCGAATCAGCCATGTGCACAGGTGGACTGGACCGAGACAACAGATCACGTCCTCACTATCTGTCCCAATTATAACACATCAAGGCAAAACTTGTGGCCAAGAGAAACCCCGGTGCAAGACAAACTTTACAGGTCGCTGAGTGAATTATAAAATACTAGCCGGAGCCCCGTTTCTGGGGGAAAGCAGTAGACCAACTAACCTGTAAAAAAGCATGTCGTAGGAGGCGACTAATTAGGGGCGCTTCCTTTGAAGTCGGAATACCTCTGCCTGTATGTAATTAAACCAGATATGTCAAAAGGATGTGCACGCAAAACTGAAATTCTGGAACTAGACTCAAGTCCAGAAGTGAACGAAAAACTAAAACTTTTCGCCGGGGTTTACAGCCGGTGAACGCTAAAAAGATAACGGTATCAAAATTACAATAGACACCGTTATCGCCACATCATCATTTTTGTGTGGCGCAATACAGCCCATTCTGTTAACATCATCAAACAGTTTATACACCAGAATTATTATATCGTAACGTAAATCAGTAAAATAAATAATACATTTGCGAAAATTGACTTTTTAATAACATTTATTTGATTTTTATGTCCACAATAAACCTTCCCCTGACCACTCTCTTGCAAGAAGAAAGCATCAACAGACATGATCACGTGACGGCAAACAGATTTCCTTTTCACACCACCATTGCCAGAAACCGAAGATGAGCACGCCACCAGCTCCGGCTGTTATTCAACGGGCCGTCGTTAAACAGGTAAATTCCTTGTTTATGTTTACACCGCGGGGCGAGATAACACTTCTGTGAGTCATTTGGCAGTTTTTACGTGTGCCTTTTAGCGTTGATTGATAATTCTATATAGAAATATAGATCCTGTGAGTGTTCTTTTGAAGTCGCTCAGTGATGACGGGGTACAGCCTCCTGGTTGTGTTTGCTACGTGGTATTCTTTTAAGTCGTGCATAGCCCTTGTTTTTTTTTGTGAGTACATGATCCGTATATCTGCACCAAGATTTAAGTTTTTAAATTGTTATTGATAAATTAAAATTTTATTGCAGATGTAGAATATAAATATTATATACTGATATGATATACTCTGCTATGAAGTGTAATTATGTAATGTTATCTGCTTCATTTTGTTCTACAAGTAGTCTTTAGTCCAGATGCTACTACTACTACTTACTACTACTACTACTACTACTACTACTACTACTACTACTACTGATCGCACCCCACAGTAGAGTAGATGTGTATGGTGATACGTGCGGACCTTCATTGGGACGTGCAGAGCTTCATGCTGAGTGTGTGGTACCAAGATGAAATAGGCCAAGTAGGGGTAAAACAGTAGTTACTTCAATGCTTTCAAAATGTAGAGCTCGAACGCTATGCGTTAAGTTCCAATGGTTGTATTGATATATACAATCAGCAATGATCAACACAAGAATACGTATGCAATCAATAATCAACTCGTTCAACCAAAGCTCACTCGTACATCCATGGATGGATATGTCCTTACGATAGGTCGCAGTCCGACCTTGAGATCATGACAATCATCTTGGTCCTCGGACAAGTCCGAATTAAGCAATGAAAGTATACCGGCTTGCTGCCGAGAATGTAGTGCTCACCAGCTTCCTGCTGAGGTCTTGGAGTCCCGGGGTAAAACGTCCTCAAGGATCCAACTTTAATAACGTTTGCTTCCGTGGGATCCCGGGGTAAAGCGTCCTCAAGGATTCCCACGTCCGTCTCCTTCGGACTATAAACATCAACTGCTCAGACAACAATATTATCATAACAACGTTACGTATTGTTTTGACGTCTTATTTGCTCACTCCGTACCGGTGCGTTCTGGTGCACATTCGCACGCGACATATGGTACACTGTACCTAGTTACTTCAGTAAATTTTTCAGAATCATGACATGATTCTGATTCTTCACCAGTAAAACCAGCATAGCTTGATACAATACTGTATTGAATACACATTAAAAATTATCTTTTCAAGATTTTAGACTTTACAACAAACAGTAACAGAGTTAGAATTGTGAGAAAATTAAATTGTAAACTTTGAAAGTCAAATGAAATAACATTAAATATGAATAATATGAATACTGAACTGCAGTCCTGCTCCAGAACCTGAGTGTTGCATGTGCATCAGTTTTACAGATCTCATTCTCTTAAATACAGACTGTTGGTTCCTTGCCTCTCCAGCAGATGCACTCCGACTTCAAAGGAAGCTCCCCAATTAGTCGACTCTTACGACATGCTTTTGGGGAGGCAGTGGGTCTATTCTTGTTTTCCCCACAATGGGGCCCCAGAACCCACACGGGGGTCTTCTGTTATTATTACTACATTCTGGTGTTATAGCTTAATCAGTTGCCTTTTGTTTTTAATAGTTTTTTCCTTTTCCACTTTGAAAGACTTACTGTTTGCTTTCTTGAATCATAATACTTTCTCTTCAACATTCTGGCAGCATACATGTTGTTCATAAATCCCCAGCTCATACCATTTTCAGCCTTTCAGGACCACAGTTGAAATACAGTGGCAAGGGAAGTTGGCACTTCCACCATTTGACTTTGACATTGAAGCAAATATTGGTTTAGGACTACACAACGAAATTAATGAGTTGAAGCTTTCATTGGCATGACGATCTAGGATTGTCAGCCTTGTTGCAATAGGGCAGTGATGCTACCAACTTGTGAAGAAAATGTTGGCTGATGTTTTTTTTGCAAACCTGCCTTCGTGGCTTTCTGGTAGTGACACCAAAAATTTTAACCCGCTGGACAGTGTAGTTTTGTGCCTTGTCAGTGCTCATCATGTGGAAGAGTCCACCTATCACTCCCTGCTTATCTTCTTCAAAGAGCATTGTCCTTTACATTTTGTTGCTTAAGTCATAAATATTTTTGATGTTGTTGGTATAATGGACTTTATTACTCTGCGGTTGAGAAACTGTTTTTTACCCTTCAGTTTTCAAGAGAATTAATGATTCCCTTTCTAATGTGGTTTATGCAGTCTTCTTTTGTTCTATCAGTATCATAACATTTAGAATTATCCACTTCATTGAAAGCCTTAGCGTCACTATCACAGAGCAAAGTACCATAAATTCGCCTTTTTTTCCCCCAAACTGATCTTGAACAACAACAATCAGAGCTGCCACTGTCTCCATGGCATTTGAAGAACGTGCATTCTTCTGACATTGAGATTTGCGTACTTTCATCCAGTTTACAAACTTAGATAAACCTCACACAATGTGGAGTCACTTTTTAGCTAAGTCTGGTTGGGAAGCTACAGCTTGCATATAATTAAGTCAGATATGTCAAAAGGATGTGCACGTAAAACTGAAATTCTGGAACAAGACTAAAGTCCAGAAGTGCAGCTGCTCTTTCTGCAACTACAAGAGCTGCTCGGGACAATGCATCCTGTGCTGATTTCTTAGCTGCAAGGCTCAGTTTTTGTGCTAATTTCTTTGTTTTGTTGGCATCTGATTTTTAATATTTATGACAGGAAACAAAGAATTCAAGTTAGCATAGCCAGCATTGTCTTTACAAACAGTGACTGCCCTGTAATCGATGCCACACTGTTTGTCCATTTGTGATGTCCATTGTGGACAGCAAATTTGTAAAGTTGCGGCAAGACCAGCCCTTTGTATTTATTTTTTAAAAACTAGTTCTAGAATGTTTTTCTGCATACCACCGCAGAAAAAAGGGAATTGAAGAAACTTTGGATTATGTACAGCAAAGAGCCATTGTTCATTTTTACCTTGATAATATTCTTGTAAACATACTGTCTCAGCTCTGCCATAGCTTTCCAGGTATATAGTTCAGGAGTACCTGTAGACTTATTGAAGTAGAACTGGGACACAAACATCATATAAGCATTGCACAAATCATCACAGCGAGAAACAAATTTCAAGGGGAGGGAGGGTGAGACTAGAGGCATCATACATAAATTTAATATTAGGAGAAGGAAATTCACCTCAAATTCTGCTATTTTTCCTTCCAGGAATTCCAAGGATTTTTGTTGTCCAAAATGTACATATCACCCTTTCAGCAAAATAAATGAGTGTATAAGAAAATTCTAACTAAAACACTAGCATCAGATTACGTAATATTAACAAAACATCCATTTTGGGAAAGACCTATGCTTTGTGCATGCGTAATATATTTGTCACTGTGGGGACCAGTCAGATATGGGCAGGTAGTAGAGCGAATGAAATAATCGGTTTGGTCAATACTTCAAAGATTTTAAGCTAGTATGTATGCTATGCTTTCATAGATCACAATCTTACCAGTTCCTAGAACTGCCTTTACAGTAATATATATGTCCTTTTATAATATGTGGAAATAGCTGCTCATGTGTGTCAAGCGTGTTTTATTTTTTTTAAATGTTCCATTGAGTGAGGTCTTCATTTTAAAGTGATGCTAAATTGCTTACAGTTCAGATAAATTGTGTGTATAATTGATTCTATGAAGTGTAGAACTTTACAAAGACAAACACTTTGAATTGAAAATATAGGTATTTTTGACATAAATTGAATAAAATACTGTATCATTTGTCCCTAAAGCAAAGTAAAAAAAAATTAGTAAAGGTACCTTTTCCATGCCTGTAGGTGTATAGGGCTAGACCTATATGTTTATAGACCAATCAGCACAAGATGGGTCATGTGGTCTGCATCACGCTGGCCGCCTTTACTTCCGGGCTAAATCACAGTATTTATTTATAAACATGTCTTTTTAAATTCACAGGTCTTATCTGGGGATACTGTTGTATTACGAGGTCAGTCAAAAGGAGGGCCACCTCCAGAAAGAACAGTATGTCTTTCAAACATTACTGCCCCTAAGTTAGCCCGAAGGGCAAATCCAAATGTTGAGAGCTCTGTGGAGACAAAAGATGAGGTGAGATCTTTCTCTAATTTGATGGGTTTTTAAACCAGATATATTTTAAGACAGTGCAGACTTCCTATTATTGTTGGCCACAGTGGATGTGCAATACTGTAAATGCTTACAGACTGCTGCGTGTCCATCTCTTTATGGTATCCTCCTGCTTGTATCAGTCTACTTGCTTTTCATTTTTTTAGTCATTGTGGTGGATATGCATGATTACTGATTTACTTGTGGCAAGTTCTTGCTTCAGACAGTATTTAGCCGTCACATTTTTCTTCTAAGGGGATATATTTGTGTCATCCAGCTGCTGAGTTGAGTGTATGGCACACATCACTGAGCTGTAGATTTCATTTGAAATGTGTTTCGACTGCACACGGTAGTCTGTGTTGTGAAATGCAGATTAAAAAAAATTGCGTTCAAAAAGGCCTTATGCAATTGATGGTGTGTGCAACTACTGATCTTTTGTAACTGCTGCTTCCGTCAGCTGTGAACTGCATTTATGATGCTGGATTTTTTGTGTTCACACTTCTGATAGCTGCCTTATCTCGCATGTGTGGCTCCCCCGCCCCAATGCTCTGGGAATTCCCTTTAAAATCTCGCACCAGTTGAGATGGGGTGAGTGGCGTTGTGATTTTTGTCACAATAATGAGGTAACGTTTAACATGATGTGTATAAGGAGATACTCCTTACGTCACTTGGGTGCCAGTCCTTCACTGATTTGGTTTTACGGAATCTCATGCAAGACTCCTGCTGCACGTCCTTGTCGTGCACCGCGGATAAGGTCTCAGATAGCATTAACAGAGCTGTCAGGGGATCTCAGCGGCCCCTAGAGGTGTAAAGTCCTTGTGGCTGTCACCAACCCGCCCCCAAACACATAGGTGGAAAGTTTAACAAAACTAATTTGAAACAGGAGTAAAATCTTTTTACCAATTGCACAACAATTAACCCTCGGTTAAAAGTTTGTGGAGTAAAAGGAACACTGCTGCTGAGACTCAACCCTTGACCAAGAAATTTACCCGCAGCTCAGACGAGTAACATCTCCTATGGGTGGCTTCTCGCAGCAAATCCTACCTATGTACATCCTCTGTCAACCCTCAGCGTTGTCCTCACCGCACTGACGTACACCAAGACAGCAGCCCGCACTGAGGTACACCAAGACAGCAGCCCGCACTGAGGTACACCAAGACAGTAGCTGTCAGTCAACTGGTTAAGCCTCAATGTCCCAAAAAAAAAGGAAGATCTTACGGAATACGAGCAAGTCCAAAATCTGACCACCACAAATCGTACTGATTGGGAAAAAGCCCAAATGTCCTCAATATGAGGCCCCACTGGCCCGAGTGTTGGGACCTAACAGACGAAGATTCTCTATTCTGTCGGCTAACGGCACATTAAAGATGTCCGAAGTGCGACTAAAAAGAATGTACCTATTCATGTGGTCATACGGTTGTGAGGTTAAGCAGTCATGTGCAGGACCTGACGATTCCTTGGGTCATGTGTTGGCTCTGCATTTATGGAAGCCTCCTTGGATGGTGGGAAATGCCCATGATCTGCCCCTGCCTTTCCTTAAGGGCTGCCCTAAAGGGGGTACTCTTAGGGGCAACACCTGTAGACAAAGGGACAAAGAGAACATCATACAAATAAGGCAACATCTCGATCCACACAAAACAATGGCTACAGTCATCCTAGAGATAGACCTGGCGTCTTCCCTCGAAGTTGGAGTACATCTGCCCATGAGGCAGAGAAAGGCAAAAAATGGTTGTACACGCAAAACTCAGGTTTGGGAAAAGGCTATAAGTCCAAGCGGACGAATAGCCTGACCTTCCGCCGGAACTGACAGCTGGTGAACAAAGAAGAAGAAGATGGGGTGAAAAGGCTAAATAGTGCCCTAGACTTTATTTTATAGACTGATTGACACTCAGGGGGTGACCTGGTCAGCATGACACTGGCCACCTTTACTTCCCAGGACTATACCTTACACCAACTCAAGGCTGGGGTGACCTGGGAGCCAGAGTTGTCTTTGAAAAAATTCTCACTCTGCCAAGACCCAAACCCTCGACCTTCCCATCTGCAAGCGAGCATCTAGCCGCTACACCATTGTGTACACCACTTATATCTGTGCTACTCATAAATATTACTGGTTCAGCTTTTATCTGGATTCAAATGAATTTCCATTTGCTGCTTTCTTCAGCCATGGGCATGGGAGGCCAGAGAGTTCTTAAGGAAAAAATTGGTTGGGAAAGAGGTGGTTTTCACAGTGGAATACAAGGTGCCAGGCACAGGGAGAGAGTATGGAGTCATTTACCTGGGGAAAGGTAACGTAACATTATTTTATTTTTCTCTTTTTGTACAATTGAAATGTAGGGTGTGTATTCATATTGTTGCCCTTTGTGAGAATTAGTGTCTAGTTCATTGAATGGTCCCCATGTTGATTTCTGGGTAACATGCCGTGTAATACTTTGTAAAAAGGAAAGATGAGGAGGATAGATATTGAACAGTTTAATGTTCTGTAGAATAATGTAACGACTAGTACAATTATTAATACTAAAGAATGCTTGTCAGAGAAGATTGCAACAAAGAACAACCAACTGCACACAAATAAGCCAGTAAAGCGGATGTACATGCAGAACTCAGTCCCTGGCACAAAGCCAAGGAACAAACAACCAGGATGTTCTGCAGGGGCTTACAGCCAGTGAACAAAGAAGATTGGTTGACAGGGGGGGGGGGGGGGGGTGAAAGATAAAACCTTGTAATTTCATAGTGCATGATTTGATTTTGTGCCTAGTTTTACTGTAGGTTGATTTATATGTCTCTGTCTAACAACAGTGTTTTGTACACATATAATAATCATCACTGGAAGTTTATATGCTGACAACATGAATAGTTCATGACACTGAAGACTGATGAGTTAACAAGTCCAGATACTTAGATATGGGAGTAGCCTCAGTGTGGGTTGTGAGGCCCTATTTTTTTGGGAGAGAGAACAATTAATAGACACACAGCCTCTTGATATGCAGGCAAATAATTAAAGGTTTGCTAAAATGACAAGAAGTGGGCTGAAAGGAATCTAAATTGTATCCTAGCTGTAAACCACAATTGTCAACTGAACCTTTTAATGATAAAGAAGTAGAAATATGGTTTCTTCTTCATCGCTTGTCTGAGCAACATATGTGAGTAGTGTCTGTTTGTTTACAGCATAACTGCTGTATTTGCACCTGTCAGCTGACATATCCGACCTCTTCTAACCATTTTTATCTGGGTTAGCCTTCCTCGAAAATAAGGTTTGTGATAATATACATAAAGTTTAAATCAGACAATTCACCATTCGCCATGTTGTTTCCAGGGCCACATTTTGAGGGAAACAAGAATAGATCCACTGCCACCCCAGTAAGCATGTCATAAAAGGTAACTAATAACTAATGGAGGCTTCCTTCAAAGTCAGACTGCATCTACCTGAGCGACAAGGAACAACCAGCTGCACACAAAAAAAGCCAGTAAAACAGAAAGTCCACATGTACGGACAGCCAGGACTTACAGCTGGAGCTTACAGCCGGTTAACAAAGAAGAAATCAGACTTCATCAGCAAGCAGCCTAAAGTTTTGCTGTATTTATTTCAGATACAACGGGTGAAAACATCACAGAGTCTTTAATATCTGAAGGTCTTGTTGATGTTAGAAAAACTGGGCTCAAGGCTGATGAGTATGTTTTTTTTAAGCTTCTTTATGGTATTTTATGAATATCTGCTTGTATGAGTACCTGTAAGCTCATGGGAAGTTTTTTATAACAAAAATTGCTTCAAACAAAAACATATGTTTCACAGTATGGCAGTCTTCATAGATGTTTGAAATATTGGTGCCTATGACTTTCCTGTTACATAAATTGCTGAGTTTCAGTTCTCACAGAAAAGTTCATTGTCTTCTAAATATACTTAAGGATATTTACTACAGTGGATAAACCAGATGCCCTAGGAAATTTGAATTATATGCCATACATATATTTGTACACTAACATAACACATACACGTAGCTGTTTAGAACACAGTGTCTCTGATAAACCTGGACATTTTTAACTCGCCCTGCAAATGCTTAAAAAATATGAAGTACTCCTCGTGTAGGTTCCGGGGCCCTACTGTGGCGAAAACAAGAATAGACCCATTGTGCCCCCCCCCCCCCCCCCCCCCCCCCCCCCCCCCCCCCCAAGAAGTATGTCATAAGATTCCTTTTACTGCTGAAGATAGGGACAGAACACTTATGTGAATGTTCCGAGTGCTGTGACATCAATCCTTAATTTAACATTAGAGGAGAAGAAGGCAGTGTCAGATATGATAATAATAGGCACATATCATCATCATTATCTCGTGCTACATAGGGCTCGCAGTCCATTCCGTTTTCTCCTGTACAAGGCTTCTCTTATTGTTCATTTTAGGGTTTCTTTTGGATGTCCTCGCGCTCTGTCCCTCTATTTCCCATTTTAGGGCCTGTTTGTTGATTCTTTACTCGTTTCTTCTCATAATGTGCCCAGTCCAGCGCATACTTTTTTGCCTCACTGTGGTTGTTACTACCAGTTGCTCAGACCGTTCTCTTTTTTTTTAAAAATCCCAATTGAATTCATACTCCCCTGTGTGGGGAAAACAAGAATAGACCCACTACCTCCCCAAAAGCATGCCGTAAGAGTCGACTAATTGGGGAGCTTCCTTTGAGGTCGGAGTGCATCTGCCAGAGAGGCAAGAAACCAACAGTCTGTATTCAAGAGAATGAGATCTGTAAAACTGATGCACGCGCAACACACAGGTTTTGAAGCAGGACTGCAGTTCAGTAGTGGGCGACCAACCAGAACTTTCCGCCAGAGTGTACAGCTGGTGAACATGAAGAAGAAGAATAATTCCCACTTTTTATATTCATCAGGTGTTTCTTTTTTTTTCATGCATTTAAACTTTAGTTCCATGTTACTGGGTCTCCAACTTTCACAGCATAGACTTCAAATGTCAATGAAATAGCTGTAAGAATTAGTAGTCTCAGAAACGTTACATTGCAATGAATTGTTAGGTTATAACAAGACATGTTTTTACTTGATCGCAGGTTAAGAATAAAACTTGCATTGAAATAGTTGCCTATGACATAAAAGTAAACTTGTCCATGTTTCTTGTCTTTTCACAACTAGTCCAGCCCAACAGAGACTGGCTCAGCTTGAAGATGCTGCTAGAGCAGCTGGTAAAGGCAAACATGCAGAAGAGGAAGCCAGTAAACACGTGCGCAACATAAAATGGACCATTGAAAATCCACGGCACTTTGTTGATTCTCACCATAATAAACCACTGGATGGTAAGTGTCATATTTAGGAACTAGTTGATTGTCACCCATAAAAAACCATTGGCTGGTGTCATATTTATGAACTAGATGATTCTCGCCATAATAAACCACTGGATGGTAAGTGTCATATTTAGGAACTAGTTGATTGTCACCATAAAAAAACCATTGGCTGGTGTCATATTTATGAACTAGATGATTCTCACCATAATAAACCGTTAAGTGTTATAATTATGAAATATTTTGATTTGTCTTATCTAGAACAGTTTAAACAACCACCACAGAGCAAATTCTGTCCTGTATTAGGCAATCTGTGTGTTCTTTGTCTGGGAGGGGGGAGGTTTGGTTGCTGAAATTGCTGGCGGTCATCTTTAGAGAGGACTATTAAAGAGGTGAACCATTATGGAGATGGTTGCCATGGTGCCTTTACTGTTAAGCAGCAACCTCACAGTGGAAACTGAGGCATCGACATGACTGGGTACTATATGAAAATTATACAGGTGGACAGTATGGTTACTGTGAATGGCCCGGCACTGGATAGGAGGGATTTCATTTATGCAATTTGAAATGCACATTGTAAGGATCATTACGACATACAGGCACAACTCACCTATCCCTGTCCACATTGGTAGTTATGAGAGTGCAGCCTGGAGCAAGCAGATACTATACGCAAAAGACATCTAATTAATCAACACAGAATGGGCATGATCATTTGTGTCTTAAGTTTTGTGGAGCTGTTGAGGAGATTAGAACACCAGTGGATCTGTCTGGAGGGCTGTGATAGTCATCAGTAATCACAAAAAGGAACAAACTATTACAGCTTATCACTCGCAACTTTCCGTTGACTAGTAAATAGACCAGTTGATGCATTGGTCACTACTGGTTGATAGTGACAACTTGCTTGGATATGTTTGCTTTGATGGTGATATTTAGGTTTAGTTTGAGGTGATTCACACACAAACACTGTCATTTTCAGCTGTGATTGAACATGTGAGAGACGGCTGCACAGTGAGAGCATTTATACTGCCAACTTTTGAATATGTGACTGTCATGCTTGCTGGAATCAAGGTAATTGACCTTATGATGTTTCATTTAAATGTTATTAACTCTGGCTGGTTTACCCTTTGTCTTTAAAGCTGTAGAGCAGTTTCATCCCTGATAGTGACCAGGTTTGTTGTTTCTTATTATTGTGTCTCTAGTCAGCTGATTCTAATAAAATAAAGGCTGAAGACTCAGTGGATTTTCTTCAAATTATGTCTGGAGAATTGAGTACTTATACCCTATTTTTTTTTAGAGAATAAAGGATAGATAAGCCCTCAGGCTAAGCAAAAAACAGTAACACTTCACCCTACCGGACATGTTGTAAGAGGCAACCTGTGTATAGAGTTGGACATATGGTTTTAGCTATCATTCCATTGAAGAAAAAAAAAACAATGGAAAAGTCTCATCAAACTCACAAGGACATAGAAATAAAGTCAGATCAAGAAACACACAGAAGGAAGCTAGAGAGTGAGTTAAATAAATTGGGGGGGGGCTGCATATGATAGCAAAGGTTAGGGTGGCTTGGCATGAGTTGTGTGAAGGTGTATGGTCCATTTGGGAATGAGCAGAAGAAGAAATATGGTGATGCAAGGAGTCAGTCAGTCTGTGATAGCGAATTTTTAAAATATATTGTTTTTATAACTATATTTGTTCTCATTTTCCTCCAAGTGTCCAATGAACAAACAAGATACAGATGGAAAGCAAGTACCAGAGCCATTTATGGAGGAGGCCAAGTTTTTTACAGAGTCACGACTCCTGCAGAAAGATGTCAATTTTTTTACAGAGTCTTGGACTCCTGCAGAAAGATGTCAAAATCATTTTGGAAGGTGTATCCCATCTATTGCCAGAATACTGTTCTTCTTTAATTCTGATAGATTATAGACTGGAGCATTTTGCAGGTAAATTAGTGCTCTATCAACCTTGCAGTATGTTTTCTACTGGATATAAAGAAGGCTGTCTCAATGCAACCCTCCCTCATAGCCACCTATGACATTGTTTCTGTTGTGGGTCCTTATAAGAAACGTAAATTTATTTTGGTATCTGTTTGTTTTCAACTCCTTTAGATCCAGTGATGTATAAAAGTCACATCATTCTTGTGGAAATAAGTTCTAGGTCTGTGTATCGTATCTAGTGGCAGACCAGTTTATCTGCCATTTACACATAATAGCAGATGGAGCATCTAACTGTTATTGTCTGTGACGACATATATGTGCCCGTGTATTACTAGAACGTATGGGGAGCAGAGAATATGAAGTGTAGAGTGGCCTAAGACCGGCTACCTCGTACTATAGAAAATATTTGCTTCAAAATGTAGTCTTAGTCAAAGCAGTTCACAAAGGACTGTGTGTAAATAGTTTGAGGGTCTTCGCTGCTCTAGAAGATAGTAAATAGAATATGGGAATATGATACTAGGCCTGTATTTTTTGTTGACCAGGGGTATACATAGGGTAATTTGGACATCATCATCTCTGGATTCATTTACATTTTTAGATAATTCCCTGGCACGAGTTTTATGTCTTGGGATATTGGTTTCACAATGATCCTATGAGGATCTGGTTAACAATCAGAACTCAGTTAGATGGCAAAACAGATCTTAATGCATCTGGTACTTCCGACATTGGAACTCTTTATCAGTTCCCAGCAGAAATACCTTAAACTGTGGAGGACACAGGTTCTGCACCGGATTATAGCCTGGTTATATCCTATTATCTCTCCTCTCCACAGGTGTGAAGTTATAGTTCCCCCCTTGCTCATCCTATTGAAGAGAGGAAGAACTTTTCAAGATTCTCCAAGGGGCGTAGTACTTTATTACTAAATAGGAGAAAGCTTGGGTTTCCAGAGGATTTACTATCAACCGTGTTCTTATAGATAAACCAAAACAGCTATTATGGTAGGTGCAGCATTGCCCACTAAATAGTGACTTAACGAGCATGCATTTTAAGATACAAACTGACAATTTCTGACTAGAAGACGTTGGTAGTAACCTGAATTACTGCTCCGGCTGAACACAGTGGTAAACGCTGGGGTGAACGGAAATATATATATTGAAGAGTTGACGTATGGGTCATGTTTGCAGTGGTTATTGGAGGAATAAGTATGGGCAAGGCAGACATACTGAATGCCCTGCGTTCTAGCGAACTTGAGACTAAAAGGAGTTGAACTGCCTTTTAAGAATGTGTATTGAATGAGGACAAACATGCAGAAATTTGTTTCAGCAACCGCAAAATGCCCCCCCCACGCCTAAAAGTACCCCCCCCCCCCCCCCCCCCCCCCCCCCCCCCCCCCCCCCCCCCTCCACCCACCCAACCACCCAAAAAAAAAAACCCAATCCAGATATGTTAATGAGCTCCTCTTGGGTGCATTGAGCATGAAGACACTGACTGCTGCATGGGGGGAGGGAGCACAAACTTGTCGGATCCACGTGCTAGGATGTCAATTTGGACAGGTAACAAGTAATTAAAACTTTTCTACTTACCTCAGCCCATTTCTTTTTATACAGTACTTTGGCACTTCACAAATGCAAATTTATGAGCTAATTTGTTTTTGTTTATTTTTGTGAAATTTTAGGCTGGCAACATTACTGAGTTTTTACTGAAAGAAGGGTTTGCACGTTGTGTGGACTGGTCTATGGGTGTGGTAACACAAGGTGCAGACAAGCTTAGAGCTGCAGAAAAGTAAGTTCCTTTGCTCAGAAATTGGACTGCTTTCTTTGCAGTGGAAATAAGGGTGACTAGCCAAGCAGATGTCAAGAAATGAAGTGACTAAACACATACTGTGTATAATAAGCGCCGGGGGGGGGGGGGGGGGGGGGGAGAGGGAGGGGGAATACACCCCAGCATGTTGACTGAAGTTTTTGTGCGCCTGACTAAATTTCCTTTGGTCTATGATCAACAAACACTTATAAACAGTCAGTTTTTTCTGTGAAAGTGTTTTCCTTGTCCATCTTGGTGAGCTGCCTCGACTTATCTTATATTTAGTTAATTTACTACTTTTCTTATAGGTAAAGGGAGATTGGAAATGTCATATTTTGGCTTGTTATGTACGCATATTAAAGTCTTTCTGTAAAAAAAAAAAAAAATTTTTTTTAGCTCTGGTTTGACAAGAACTTGTAGACAGGCTTTTAAATTTGGTTTGGCAAAAACATGTAGACAAATTTTATATGCTAACTATTTTAGATTTGATTTCACCTACATCGGTTACCCACCCACACAGGACTACAGGTTGCTTTGTAATTGTTGTGCGGTACCCACATATAACTGCTATATGTGTATACAGCTACACAGGGTTTCATGGATTTGTACTTGTTTTTCATCCTTGAGATGTTGATCCTACAGATTGCAATCCTGGAAGATGAAAACTGTAAAAGTAAAATTGATTTTACAAGAAAATGTAGCCTCCTTTGGAGCAGGAGGTAATCTCATTATCATCTGTAGATCTCTTCCCTGACCAACAGTCATTCATATTGCTTCTTGACTGTTAGGATCATAATCCCGAGAGTCCTACAGTTGCTTTTGTCAAATAAATTTCTGTTTTATATTACTTGTTTCTGTAATATTATATTTCACTTCTGTTTTCAAAATGGCGGATAGCAGTGGTGTTTATTTTCGCTGGCTGTCAATTCTCTCTGATTATTCTGTTTCATGTCATTTCCAACGCAGGATACTGTTTTTTTTCCCCCGTGTATTGTGGTTGTGCTGTGTCCGGCGGGATAATGGCTGATAGTTTTGGCAGCCTCGGCTACGCTGCCGTCGCAATGTTTTGATTTCAGAGGTCCACCCAGGAAGACATAATCTCGTCAGCAGGGGACTGTAACTGTCTAGAGAGCAAACTCGATAAAAGCTGTACCCAGAAACGGAATGTGTCAACTATATATCTGGTGGGGAGGAATCGACACATACAGTTAACTCAATGGCCATAATGTATTTATTTCAGGGCTGCTTTTATGTATTGCTTTTTTACTCCCAGTGCTTTTATGTCATGTGATAGTTTTCCAGAGTTGCTTGTAAGTTGAGTTGTCAAGAATTGACATCACAGCACTCGGGGCATTCCCATGCATGCGCCGTCCTCCTAGTACCGGTCACTGATTATATGTCTATCTTGCCTTTTCTCTGAGTGTGGTGAGCCGGCCGGACCCTCTGGTTACACCTAGGTGCCTCATTCTCACCAGACCATAAAAATCTTGTTTCTCTACTGATTCGGTTGCTTGTTCCCAAAGGGCCTTGACCACATCTGCCTTGTCATGTATCAATTCACCACCCAGTGGTGCAGATCCAGCCAGTCTGTCTGCCTGTTCATTACCTACCACATCGGCAAGGCCTGGTGAAAAGATCCAAAGTATGCTCACTACCTGTGACCTTCCCAGTGAAGCTTGTCACTCTGCTCGAAGCATCCCTGTCTTCACCTTTCTCAGCATGCTTTCAGAGTCAGTTACAATTCTAGAGTTGCTTTTATGTGAAGTAATATTTTCTCTGATCACATTTATATAGTGTAATACCTTTTCTTTACAACTTCACCATTATATGATGTAATCATTTATATTTAGTCCTAATTTTAAATAAGGTAATAATTGTTTTCCAGAGTCGCTAAAGATAAGAGACTGCGGATATGGAAAGATTACAAGCCATCTGAAGCCAGTTTGAACATCAAGGATAAATCATTCTCTGGCAAGGTAACCCATTTACATAAAGACATTCTGGGAGATTTTATCTTCTGTCTTTTGTCTTTCTGTGTTGTAAAGCCTTTACCAGCTCACCTAACATCCTCTTATCTTTTGCTTATTTCCTGCAGTTCTTCTTATTTTAATCTTTTTTGCGATGCAAAGATGCGTAACAATCATCCTAGAAATAAGTTCTACTGAAGACCTGGTCGTCATAAATTAGATATATATAAATATCATCTGCCTGAGATGAGAGCAAGGAAAACTCCACACATTAAGTGAGATTCGGTGGGGAAAATGAATGTGCCTGCAACACACACATCCTGCAACAAGACAAAAGTATAGGCGCAGACAACCAACCAGAACTTTTATGCAATTCACAAACCAGTAAACTCATTTTATTTAAAACTGCCAGTTTTTATATTTTTTTAACAATTGTTGGTGGTACACAGGTTGTTGAGGTTGTCAATGGTGATGCCTTGGTGGTTAAACTGGAGGATTCATTCAAAAAAGTCTTCCTGGCCAGCATCAGACCCCCAAGGTGAGCCTCCTAAGTCAAATAAATACAGTGGAACCTCATTAACACAAACTCCAAAAGACTGAAAATCGACTTTGCCTGAAAAAAAATCTTGCTCTACGGTGGCTAATAATAATGTTACATCCCAACATCCCAGCTGGAATGACACCTTTTGTTCCTGTTAACCAAGTGTTCGTCTTAAGCAAGTTCATGTTAATGAGGTTTTACTGAAGTTGATAATTAGGTTGTGTTAAATGCACATCAGATCACTTGCTGAATTCACATCAAAAGTTTACTTTAGAAACACAGGTAGAGGACCCTTTCCACTCCTTGAGGCCATTTTTAAAAAAAATGGCTTGGCCATGTTATGAGAATGAATCCTGATATACCTGCCAAAACAGCTCTCACGTGGATACCACAGGGAAAGAGAAAAAAAGGGGTGCCCAAAAACAACATGGAGACGAACGATGGAAAGTGACCTGAGTGTGGCATCTTTGACATGGAAAACTGCATTGAAGATTGCACAGGGCAGGAAAGCATGGAAAGTCCTCTCTGAAGCCTCGTGTACCAATAGGCATAACGAGAACTGATAAGGCTTTTATATGGTGCTAGCTTATGTTTTATGGGCAGATACTTGGATGGTGTGGTAAACACGTCACTGCCGCATTTACTTTCCAGGAAATTTGTTTAATATCCAGTATAGGCTATGTCAACATGGAAGACAGACATGATGGGGGAGGGGGGGGGGGGAATTCTTTATGATGAGAATTTCAACCCATGATGATTATGTTGGTAGACAAGCATGCTTGCCACTGGGCTGTGCCTACTGTTGAACATTCTGGTCTGACAGTATGCTTGCACTATTTTGTTATTTAAGTGCCTGAATGACAAAGACATTGCAGCTGTGTGTGTAAGGAGCATTCAGTTGAAAGCTTGTTCATGCAGCATCACATGTAATTGCTTGCTTTGAACATGATCATGTCATAATTGTATGAAAATTACTGACCAATGAACAAACCAGCACCTGCTTATTGTCCCATGATGCATAGCTTCTGTTTCTGGCTGTTAACGTAATGCCTGTGTTGATCAATAATTCGCCCAGTGAAGCTCAAGAAGCAGTTATTCAATTATTTTCATTTAAAGAATGTCAATGAGTTGAATGCAGACAGCTTACTATAACAAATATGTGTAGAAGATAACAGTGACAGACTGGGCACTCAAATGTTGAAAAAGACGCGAGTTCTTTTAGTCGGGTCAATCAAATATTGTTGCAACATCAAAACATTGATACAGCAATACAAGATGTTCCTTGTTAAATCGTGTCGCTAGCAAAAGAATTCAGTGTGTCAGTTAGGACAGTTCTAAAGGTTGTTTGTAAGAAACTGTGTTTCGGAAAGTGTGATCACCTTCAGATGTGCCACGGACGTTGATTGACCACCAAAAGACTTCAGATGCAGACATAATAATGCGACAAACATTTGGTTCAATGGTTAACCAGTCATTTTTTGTGTTGCCAACATTTGTTCCCTACCTAAGCAGTCTTATGCGGTGCCTGTAGTAAATGCCTACATTGATTTTCTGACCAACATAGGGTACATAATTCATTCAAAATTGTTTAAATTCTGCAACAGCAAGCTTTTGAGAAAGCCATTGGAATGGGTTTGAAATGAACGCTCCTTATAGAAAGTAGGTAAGTTATATACATGTAGATTTGGGTTTCTATTTTAGTGCCAGTATTTCAGTGACATTAAGTTAGTGTCTGCACATTTTTGTTTGCAGATTACCAGATGCTCCAGAGGGGTCTGTAAAGGAAGCTGCTAACAAGAGAACCCGACCACTGTATGACATTCCCTACATGTTTGAGGCTCGGGAGTTCCTCCGGAAAAAGCTCATTGGAAAGAAGGTGGGTAACTGAGGCATGACTAATTGGCAATAAATTAGATAATTAATTGGCTTACTAAAACATGTTTTGGCATCATGGCTGAAGTAGTTATTTTATAGTCAAGGTGTTATCTTCACTGCAAACTTGTTGCCTCATGATTGTGCCTGTGAAAATCACACAAAATGCTTCTGCCTGTTCCATTGACAGACAGTTCTGGGAAAAATCTGAAGCATGTGCAAACAAGAAGGCAATCGTTTAAGGCACCAGTGCCACAATATGTGCAGTTTATCATTGATGAAAGTAGTCAGTAACGACAAATTAGCCGTACACAGACTTAATTTTGTAAATATCAATCATGACAGAGACAAAAGGCACTCCACAGGAATGCTAGAAGAGCAGATAAGTTCTAGTGCATCCAAAGGACAGTCCTGATTTTTCACAAAGGGAATTCTGTTCTGACCCTTTAAAAAAGCTACGACGGGATGGTGACCAGATGATTCAGTGAGCAACCACTCTTTTGTGTGTGGAATTTCTATGATGTTCCCAGGCAGTGAGATACATGTCTGAATGCCTACAGGGACACCCTTCTGGTGATCCCAGGTGCATGGTTATTTTCTAACAGTTGCTTTAATCATGCCACACCAACTAGTGCACCTGTCATACATGTCGGCATCTGTGACTTGGGCATTGCGAACGAGCTTCATGTTGCCGGGTTTGATCCCGGCTGTGGGCGTCGCATTGGTTTCGACATTGGTATCAAGAAGCTGACTGCTCAGAAAGCATTAGCAAACTACTGAACATAATTTTGCCTAGAAAAACCACAACAGCCAAAAAATGCTGATGTTGGTTCTGCAATATCCTTTAAAAGATACGCAACTAACTTTTTTAACTCATAAAGTCACCAGATTAACTTCTATTTAGTCACACGGTGAATGTAGACAGTTTCTAGTAAAGTGGTCAGTTGATTTGCCTAGTGTATTTTTTTTTTAAACGGCATTTTGTGTGTAAAATTAATTGAATTGTATGTCTATTGAAGATTGCTTTCTCATAACAAACTGATGTCTGTCTCTGGTCAGGTCAGTGTAGAAGTTGATTACATCCAGCCTGCAAACCAGGGATTTCCTGAGAAGACTTGCTGCACTATTACCATTGGTGGAATGTGAGTATGGCGTGCCGCACAAAACTGGCAGGTTTTGTTGAGAATTCTCGTTTTAAAGCTGATAATGTTATTGTTAGCGGCAAAAGAATTTAATGGCAAGCCACACTAGGTCTGTAGATCTTCCTTGAGGTGACCCCCTTTTTAAAAAAATCTGTGGCCCGGATATCATTACATTCAGGAGGAATTTACGCAGAACTCACTGAGAAATATTTAGCTTGCACTTAAACCTTCCAGTAGAACTTGGGCCACCGTGAACTCTGTAAATGTCCTGTCACTGTCTTTTGCAGCTTCTCAATCCCCAGTACTTTCTCTAATATTGCGTTATTTACCAGTTTTTAGGCTGCCTGGGACCAGAATTGGAGGGGGCGGGAGAATCGAGATGACATGGTCAGACTAAATTATGATTTTATATTTGTCCTGACAGACAAACCCATTATCTTACCGATGATTTGAACCTGGCCTCCCAAATGAGAGTCCAGCTTTCTTAACAGCCTTATGTTATTAATTTTTAAGCCTCTTCATAATTTTCTTTATAATAGTGCTTAAGGGGGGGGGGGGGGAGGAGAGGCGTATAAAGTAGTTAGTCAGGTGTTGCAGGCACATGCTTGTCATGCTTATTAGTTAAGCAATTTATTTTGCACATTTTGTCGTTTTAGAGCAGCTATCATTGGGACTTATTGAATAATTGCAGGTGTTCCACATGTGGGTTCCGGGACTCCATTTGGGGGTGAGAAAAAAAGAATAAACCCGCCCCTGACAAGCATGTCATAAGAGTCAACATTAAATGCTGTCCCAGAACGGACCCCTGGAGAGAGGAGTATAAGTTTCCAATACACATCAAGACTGAAGTGAAAGGGGTATTTGACAAGGAAGAACAAAACAGTGTGCAGCGCAAAACAGCCACCCTCAGTCTACTTGATGATGAATACCCGCAGAACCTTTGGGTCCGTGTTTACACAGATGGGTCAGCAGAAAGCGCAGTCAGAAACGGAGGTGCAGGAGTGTACATTGAGTATCCTAATAATACCAGGGATACAGCTAAATTACCAACGGGAAAGCACTGTCACAACTATGATGCAGAAGTTCAAGCCATCAAGATAGCGGCAGAGAAACTACTAAATACAGGGTATTTTTCACAACCAGTGGTATTCCTGACAGATGCAAAAGCAGTACTTCAGTCACTCCAGTCTGGAAAATTACCAAGCATACGGACACTATTATCCGAACTAGGCAACCGCTGTAAATTAGTAATGCAGTGGATACCTTCCCACTGTGGATAAACTAGCTAAGGAAGGTGCAACTGAAGAACAACCTAACATACCAGTCTCTTATCAACAGAAGAGAATGATCAAATCAGTCAGAATGCCACCGAAACTGGCACAAGATGATTACCATATTATGGACAGACCAGAGCAAGTCATTATCCTTCGCCTTAGAACAGGGCACAATCGACTTCGCTCCCACATGTACAACAAATTTAAAAGTGGCCAATCAGCCATATGTACTTGTGGACTGGCACCTGAAACAACAGATCACATCCTTCAAGACTGTCCCAGATTCAACGCTTTCAGGCAAAACCTTTGGCCAAAAGAGACACTTGTGGAAGTCAAACTTTACGGGCCGCTTAGTGACTTACAAAAGACAGTGAAATTCATACTAGAGACAGCATTGCGGATATAGATAATTTATTTCATGCGAACGAAAGAAGAAGAAGAAGAAGAGTCAACTAATTAAAGGTTTCCTTCAAAGTTGAACATCTGCCTGAGAAGCAAGGAAGCAAGTCTGCATACAAAACAAGACAAATCTGTAAAAATGTATGCAAAACTCGAGTTCTGGGGCAAGATTAAAGTCTAAAAGTTAATGAACAACCTGAGTTTGCAACCAGTGAGCTCTATGAGAAGAAAAATAGGATTACAAGTGTGAAGATCAACCTCGTGTTCCAGGATTTGGCTCCGTCTGACACAACACAGCGATAAGTTTCCTGGCTAGAACATCATATTCCATGCAAACTCCTGTTTTGAAAGTGAGGAAAAATGGCTTGACCAGTTTGCCAAAGATATAGTATAATAATGTAGCCTTGAGACTGTGAAATAAAGCAACATCTGGCATAGAATTGATTAATCTGATAGAAAAATGGGACAAAATATTCAGAAAAATGTGTGGTATTTATTAAAGAATTAACAAAACATGTTACTTGATGCTTGGCTGGGTTTGGAGCTTCTCTGCGTGTAAAATGTCTAAGGCAAATGGAACACATCATATTTTCTCCTTTCTTATGCCAGTGAAAAATACACTTGTCACTGTACCTTTTTAAAACTAGTGATGACAAAATCCAGCAGCTTGCACAGGAAGTAAACGTAAAACGTTACTTGTTCTCCAGAAATGTGGCAGAAGCACTAGTCAGCAAAGGCCTGGCCACAGTAATCAGGTACCGACAAGATGATGACCAGAGGTCTTCCCACTATGATGAGCTGCTGGCTGCTGAATCTCGGGCTCAGAAGAAAGGCGTTGGGCTTCACAGTAAAAAGGAGGCACCAATTCACAGGGTTGCAGATGTTTCTGGAGTGAGTTATTCTTTAGGCATTTTCATCATCATCATCGTTAGCTTCTCCAAATGATTTAGGTCTGTTTTTCCTGTTCGGCTGCCGACACAAAATCTTTGAGGGTGATTGGATCTAATTAGAGAGGTATGGGGAGGGGGGGGGGGTAGGCAGGTGTTGGCTTAATTGAAACCATGGTTTCTTTCTGTTTTAGTAGAAATTACAATCCCTGATTGTTTGATTCTGTTTTGTTGATGAATATCCTCCATATAAACATTGCCTGTTCTACCGATGATTTCTCCAGTTGTTATGATGTTTACACCACACAATGAAAGGACCTTGACTCTTTCATTTAGTTGATAAATGTCAAAATATGACTGCTGGGCAAAAGTCGGTTGAGGTCCTTTGATCGAACGGAGTTGAATAAAGCCGATGGCTCTAGATGCGAGCGTTCCATTATGTCCAGTTTGGTTTACTGTAGTTTTCTTATGTATATGGAGTTAATGGAAACAAAATGTTGTTTATCCATCATACAAGATCATGAGTACTAAGTTGAGCTGACTTGAGCCTGGAATGTGCTTGGAAAGTAGAGGCAGCTCATGGAACACACATAGAGGAGAGATTTTCAACAAGATTTCTAGATTCTCTCCATTAAGTGCACCAATATAGACATATACTACATCTAGGTTGATCTTTTTGTAGCATCTTCCTGTATGTTTTCGTTCACGCTGAAGGATTTGAGAGCAGTTTTAAAGGTGCCCTTGTAGTGCATTTGTTTTCTAGCCACCTGGGGATTTTTTCTTATGCTATAATTCACTTTAGTGGTTGGAGTCTCTAAAACGGTTGGGCTGACACCTATCAGTTTTATGTTTGTGCCAGGGCTTTCAGGGGTGCAAGGAAATGAGCAAGCTGGTAGGCTTGCAGCTAAAGCTACTGTGGAGGGCAGACCAGCCACGGGCCGGGCAGATATTCTGAATGCTCTACGATATGCAAGACGTTTGCGAGAACCACGTGATGGCTGAATCTGCAACCCTGAGCGGACTGCCAAAAAAACACATTAAAAGAGGTGTGGCCAGACAAGAGCACTATAAAAGAAGAATAAGAAACCAACATAAAATGGTGTCTTGAGCTGCTTACCCTGAATGATTTACTAAGGAGGGTATCCGAGCACTTATAGGCTGAATGATGCAATGATAATAATCTGTCTGCTGACTACAATTTACTTACTTTGCCATATTAGGAGTCGCAGTAGCTAGATTCTCACCTGCTGACCCAAAGGTCTTTGGCAGATTTCCCCCTTAAAATTGACCTTGGCTTCCAGTTCATTCTGTCTAAATTGGGTAACAGATAATGTCTTTGGGAAGTAAAAGTTGACTGCCATGGTCACACCACCCACACCATAGAGAAGTCTGTTAAAAAAAAAAAAAAAGATGTGAGTGGATCATATGCCAATGTGCCACTGGCATTAAAAGGAGTCCTTCTGTTTCTTTATGGTGGTATTCTCTTTACAGGCTTTTTCTATAGGAACCTGTGTTCCGGCATCAGGACTAAGTGATCCACTACACGACTTTGCTCAGATGAACAGTGAGAATGATAGAGTGCGGCTGTCATTAAATAATGCTGAAGTGTTCTACAGTGATCATGTTGTATTTCCACAGGATGTTGCAAAAGCAAAACAGTTTCTGCCATTCCTTCAGAGAGCTGGTAAATCAGAAGCTATCGTTGAATTCATTGCTAGTGGATCTCGGCTAAGATTGTATCTACCAAAAGAAACCTGCCTCATAACGCTTCTTATTTCTGGTAAGCCACACCTACCTTGTATCTGTTTGAACTCATGGTATGCTTCTTATTTCTGGTAAGCCACACCTACCTTGTATCTGTTTGAACTCATGGTATGCTTCTTATTTCTGGTAAGCCACACCTACCTTGTATCTGTTTGAACTCATGGTATGCTTTTTATTTCTTTTAAGCCACGCCTACCTTGTATCTGTTTTCATGGTATGCTAGACCTATAGACTGGACATTTTGTTTTTTTTAACTCTTTGAGTCCCAAGGAACGTGTCATACGCTCATAGATTCCTACCTAAAAGCTCAGTGAACGCAAGATGCGCTGATTTTATGTCTTTCTTGACTACCCCTTGGGCCTGTGATGCTACACACACACACACACACACACACCCCCCCCCCCCCCCCCCCCCCCCCCCCCCCCCCCCCGACTCAAGAAGTTAAATACTAATTCTATTCAAATCTGCCTAGCCAATGTTTACTTCTGTTGAAAAGTCAAATATTCCTGATAACTGCTTGACAATTCTTACATATGGTGCATTTTGCTCTTACTTTTACAAGTCTTACTTCTAGTGGATAAACTACATCTGATTCTTTAAAATAAAATCTGCTCCACAGCTCACATTTCTTGTTTCATATGCAGACACTCTCTGTCTCTGTCTTTCTCTCCTCTCCCCCTCTCTCTCACAACTGGCGTGTAAAATAATATTGCCTTATAGCACTTCTGCTGCATCGAAAGAGAGAAAACAGATAATTGATGCACAGATGTTAATTCTAGTTGGGTTTTGGGGGGAGGGGGGGGGGGGGGGTACATGAGGCGGGAGACCTGGTGAGGGACCGAGGTTTGTTTGAGGCAGACTGTAATGAGAACAACGTTCTGCAAAAGACCTGCTACATGATGATGATGCTTTAATACAGGCATGACAACTATAGCCACTTCTAGTTGGACCAGTCTGACTACTGTTCTCATTGACAGCTCATTCATTTCTTTAGTTGGACCAGTCTGACTACTGTTCTCATTGACAGCTCATTCATTTCTTTAGTTGGACCAGTCTGACTACTGTTCTCATTGACAGCTCCTTCATTTCTTTAGGTGGGCCAGTCTGACTACTGTTCTCATTGACAGCTCATTCATTTCTTTAGTTGGACCAGTCTGACTACTGTTCTCATTGACAGCTCATTCATTTCTTTAGTTGGACCAGTCTGACTACTGTTCTCATTGACAGCTCATTCATTTCTTTAGTTGGACCAGTCTGACTACTGTTCTCATTGACAGCTCATTTATTTCTTTAGTTGGACCAGTCTGACTACTGTTCTCATTGACAGCTCATTTATTTCTTTAGTTGGACCAGTCTGACTACTGTTCTTATTGACAGCTCATTTATTTCTTTAGTTGGACCAGTCTGACTACTGTTCTCATTGACAGCTCATTCATTTCTTTAGTTGGACCAGTCTGACTACTGTTCTCATTGACAGCTCATTCATTTCTGTTCAAATGTTAAGTGTTAGACACTGAGTTGTGATTGTATGTTGTAACATGTTTGCTGCACAGTTGTTAGTACTGTTATTAGCTACCTTTGAAAATGTGTTTTGGATGAATACTCATCAAAGCAAAGATATAAATATTAAATAATATGGGCCCTAAAAATCTGTAGAAAAAGTAAAGTATACCCTGTTCGCACCAGTGGATAATTGAGCTTTTGATGCTAAACTATAATTTTTGTAGACCAGTTGGCACTTGATGGGTGATGTGGTCATCATCTCACCAGCAGCCTTGACTTCCCAGGGTATTACCTATTGTTCATTTTAGGTAGGTCGATCTGGTAGCCATGACAAGGATTCAAACACAAGATCTTTGGGCCGGCAAATGAGCATCTAGCCACTACACTGCCATGGTAGTAGAGATGGTTGCCTTGATAATGGTCTCATCACCGATCAAATGCTGATTGGTCTATAATTAAAAAAACAGAAGGCCATATTTCCAGGGATGGGGCCCAGATCTGAGTGTTTGGAGTCTGCATCTGAAACATTAAGGCAAACCATTAAGGTCAGAAAGAACAACAGTGGAACATAAACTCAAAGAACCTCTGCAAGAACCACAAAGGACTGAAATTTATACGTAAGACAAAAATTGCTGTTACAGACAGTTTATTTCAGGCAGACAAAAGAAGAATCTGTATCAAGGTAGATTTTTCAATTAATGTATGGATTCCTAGTTGACCCAGTCTAAATGGATTACCAGAAGGTAATATCTGGGATGTTAAGTTGACTGGCATGATATTTGTATCGTCTCCCCTGTCAAGTCCCAACTTGTTTATATATATATATATATATATATATATATATATATATATATATATATATATATATATATATATATATATATATATATATATATATATATATATATATATATATATATATATATAATTGTCGGATGCACTAATGGCATGAAAGGGGTTCTTTACTTATCTGATTTGTTGCCAGCACCATTCCATCTTTCCAGACAATAGTGTTCCAATGTGCTTCAGGAAGGTGACAGCACTGGTGAAGGTTAAGAGTTAAGTTCCTCCTTTTGCTAGCACAAGGCCTGGACAGATTGTAGTGACCATGTCTTGCCTGTGCATTGCTCTCTTGGCTTGCTTTATTAACTTCAAAGGGAACAGATCAACCAGTCTTATAATTGCTTGCTCTCCTAATTCATTAAGTAGGATCGTTTAATGTTAGTGTGTGTGTGACACACCTCTGTGAGCTTATACTGAGCTTAAGAATGGTTGGGGTCATTGATAGGCAATTATTTTCTATATCTCCTCTAGGCATTGACTGTGCTAAAGCCGCTAGAACATTGCCAAATGGTCAGACTGTTCCTGCAGACCCGTACGGGGAAGAGGCTGTGTTGTTTACAAAGGAGATGTGTCTACAGAGAGAGGTGAGTCATAGTAGATATACAAAAGCTTCCTTGGTACTGGACAGTGCAACAAAACTGAACAGTTTGTTAAGAATTTGTGATGGGTGGTAAAACCACTATGCTGGTTTCCTGGATCATTAGAATAAAACAGTGAATATATTTTATTCACCAAAGCTGTTTTTGATGTTTAATCACTTTTTGTGAGGCTATTCTTTTATTGTAGAAAAGGAAATTCCACATCATCATTGTCCCAACGGTACGTTTTTGAAATGGAAGTGCATATTTTCAAATAGCACTCACAGTCTATCCCATTATGAATTTTGTTTTTTATCCCATGCAATTAGTAAAATATCTTGGATGGAATCCAGTGGAGCACTTTTGGCCTCTCATTGTTGGTCATAGGGGTTTTCTTGAACACCCTCATTTCCTCACTCCACTTGTTTCCCATTACAGTGCCTGTTTTGTTATCAGGAACTGATATACTTTAGCCATATTAAATGTCACAGTAGATTAGAACATGTAGTAAAACACATCTATTCCTATGCAGTGTTGTGCATACAAGTGCCAGCTGTTGTGAATGGGTGCTTGTCGGGACAGTGGACTGCAGGTCTGGTGAGAGGCATGTTAGTGATTGCAACTTCTGACAGTTGCCTTATGCATCAAATTTTTCTTGGACAGTGAAGGACATTTTGTATGATTTCCACTGGTACAGGAATGGAGACCAGTTTTTGGTGAAGTTTGGACCTTAACCAAGATAGCTAACTTTTCCTTAGGATGTGTCCAGTATATTACTATTATGTGATCTCGGCCTTTATAGCTGTTGATACCTGCCATTATTTTATTAGCTTTCTTTTCCCTTTCTGTGGCTGTTTTTACAGTGATTGTTTCTTTTTTCCCCACCTGCACAGGTTGAAGTTGAAGTTGAAGGCATTGACAAAGGAGGCAACTTCATTGGCTGGCTGTTTGTAGATGGGGTAAATCTGTCTGTTGCTTTGGTAGAAGCTGGTTTGGCTAAAGTTCACTTTACAGCAGAGAAGAGTTCCTTCTACAAAACGTTGTTAGAGAAGGAAGCAAAAGCCAAGGAAGAGAAACTGAAAGTAAGCAGTGTACTTTGAGTGTAAAATTATGTGTGTGTTTGTTAAGGAATTTTGAAGGTAAGGGAAATCTGCCACAGTAATATTTTTCGGCAGTCACCTTCATTTAGAATAGATGACTTCGTGAGAAATTCTTAGAATGCTGCCGTTAATACGGAAATACTGACATTTTTGACTTATGGGGGGGGGGGTGACTTGTGAATAGCATTATACCCCAGGAACTGATATCCTTTGGTTATATCATTTGTCATAGTTTAGAATATGTAGTATTATGAGGCATGATTCCTAGTTAAAGGGGTAGGGATCATCCAACACAGATGTGGAAACAGGTTTTTAGAGACACCCTGAGTTTGATGTTGACGTATCTCGAGAATGAAAATATATGCAACAAGGGAGTCACCAAAGACAAATCAGCCATAATTAGAGAGGATATCTGCAAAGATAAGCTACACAGTGAGTATGATACAACCTAGTCTTAAACTGTCTCATACAGTCACAGACATGGCACCCAGTCCTAAACTGTCTCATACAGTCACAGACATGGCACCCAGCGCTAAACTGTCTCATACAGTCGCAGACAGGGCACCCAGCCCTAAACTGTCTCATACATTCGCAGACATTGTACCCAGCGCTAAACTGACTCATACAGTCAAAGACATGGCACCCAGCCCTAAACTGTCTCATTCAGTCACAGACATGACACCCACACTCTTAACTGTCTCATACAGTAACAGACATGACACCCACACTCTTAACTGTCTCATACAGTAACAGACATGACACCTAAACCCTTAACTGTCTCATACAGTCACAGACATGACACCCAGGCCTAAACTGTCTCATACAGTCACAGACATGACACCTAAATCCTTAACTGTCTCATACAGTCACAGACAGGACACCTAAACCCTTAAATGTCTCATACAGTCACAGACATGGCACCCGGCCTTTAACGGTCTCATCCAGTCACAGACATTGCAAACGGCCTTTAACTGTCTTATCCGGTTGCAAACATGGCAACCGGCCTTAAACTGTCACATCCAGTTACTGACATGGCAACCGGCCTTAAACTGTCACATCCAGTTACTGACATGGCAACCGGCCTTAAGCTGTCTCATCCAGTTACTGACATGGCAACCGGCCTTAAGCTGTCTCATCCAGTTACTGACATGGCAACCGGCCTTAAACTGTCACATCCAGTTACTGACATGGCAACCGGCCTTAAACTGTCTCATCCAGTTACTGACATGGCAACCGGCCTTAAACTGTCACATCCAGTTACTGACATGGCAACCGGCCTTAAACTGTCACATCCAGTTACTGACATGGCAACCGGCCTTAAACTGATGTATTCAGTAATCAGACTACATGCATGCAAACTGACACTTCTGCATTATAGGGGTGAAGGAAGAAACCATACAGTTGGAATTCACACCAGGGAAAAGTAATTAATTTCTTTTGTGTGTGTGTGTGTAAAATCTCTGTATAACTTTCACACCAGGGAAAAGTAATTAATTTCTTTTGTGTGTGTGTGTGTGTGTAAAAGCTCTGTAAAACATTTACATGAAAATTCTGGACTATTTACCAGATTTGGGCTAACTTCGTTGAGGAGAAAGAGGTGAAGGTCGAGGAGGAGCCAGTTGAACGAAAGATCAACTACAACAAAGTGATTGTCACAGAAGTCACAGACAGTCTGACATTCTTTGCACAAAATGTGGACAATGGTAAGTACTAGCTGTATCACTGTTTCTTCTATTTCTCCACTTTTCTTCCTTTTTCTGCAAATGCTAGGCTGGAGTATCAGCATCTTTTGGCTCAGCCATCTGATTTCATCATTCCCTTAATAAGTCACCCTTTACGTGTTTAAAGTACTTTAAAGGCGGTAGGTCTGTTTTTGTGCGGCCATGTGGCTTGAAGGTTAGTGAAATTGTATTGCAGTGCAATTTTTGTCGTTTATCAGTGTTTGATTCTGTTCTCTTTGTTTTTGAAACATTGGTTTATGGATCACACCATTGGAGAAATCGGGACTTCTGCATGTGATATTCTAATAGTTAGCAGGAGATACACAGCAGCTAACCTCCATTGTAGAGACGATATTGTTTCTAATCTTACAAAAAATATGTAGGTCTGTTTTTGTTGTTGTTACTTGTTTTCCCTATCGACATCCTAGCACATTGATCGGCCTTCTTAGTGTATGCCCCTGTGCACCCAGTAGAAATTTATTGGTATATTTTTTTTCTTTGCCTCAGAACTGGTTTCTATATGCTTATCTTCATTTATTTCCCATTTGCAACAGACTCTTTTGTCTCAACGTTTCTAGAATGCAGCACATTCATTCAGTTTGATCACCTTGTTCTTACTTCTTTCTCCACTAATTACTGCAGACATAGCCAGTCTGTCTGTCTATTTGTTTGCCCCCAAAATTAACCCTGATAACTTTCTTAGAGAGGAAGGAGTTTAGTAGTTACTAGCTCACGGTAATGACATTAACTCACAGTGATGACAGTCATTTCCTGACAATTTTATTGGTTTGAAGACATCAACATCCAACGCTTTGTCTGAGTGAGTTTATCATTTGTTCAACTGTATTTGTCATAATCATATCACACAGCCCAGCATTCTTCCTCTCCATTTTCATCTTTATGTGTCTGATCTAAAATTGACATCAGCAACTGTGACTCCTGTCTGATATTGTGTGTCAGTTACGCTATTATAAGTATTGATAGAACTGTTAACAACACTGGGCTGTCATGTGAGAGACACAGTTTAAAAGAATCCTTGGCTAGATTGTGAAATTTGTGTTCTATATGGGCAAAAATAAGCACGTTTATGCCGCCTTTGAGGCTGAGATAGGAGACATAACCAGCCTCTCATAGGGACAATTAGTAGAAGTACTTTAAAGTAGCTGCTGCATCGGAGGACTGAGCATGCATGAGAATGCCCAATAAGCAGTGACATCGATTGTGGTAACATAACATGGGCATATAGTGCTGGACCTATATTAGTGGGGATATTGTCAAGATAATACAGATCACCTTTACTTTTAAGAACACTTCCTGGTACCCATGTAGGCTGAATTGACCTGAAAGCCTCATTCACTTAAAAAATATGCCTTTGTGAATTTGAACCTAAGACGGTTGAACAAATGGAGAAAAGTCACTATGCTGCCTTATTCAGTACAGGAACTTTTGGTTAATGCACAAGACCAGTCATTTCATGGACTGTGGACCACAGAGGACTCAGAAAATAAATGTAAGAGGTGCGTAATATTGTTTACACACACACACACACACACACAAAAACTCCAACTTTAGGATGCTATCCATTGTCAGTTCTAATGTTTATCAGTTATATTCACCTATTCAGTATGCCTTTGAAAGTCTGGGGTCCACAGCTGACCTTTAATTAAGGGCACGTCTGCAAGTTTTAACCAGTCTGGAGCCACGACTAACACACCTCATTTTCTCACAGTGATGACAGTTATATCCTGACAACACTGTTTTGTGTCTTGAAGACATCAACATCCAACGCTTTGTCTGAGTGATGTTTCATACAAGGTCCGACAATTAAGAAATGAGACTAATTCTATAAAAATTTAAATAATCAACACTTGAAGATATAACCTGTATCTGATTAAAAGTAAGCCTTGTGTGCATTGATACAGCAAGTTGCACGATCTAACAAACACTGGAACGACCTCTGCAGGTTGTTCTGTTGTTATGGCCCATAAAGTCGATGTTACGGCCCTTTGGATGTCATCAGTATTGTTAAAGAAGCACCCTTTCAATCGTAACTTTAATTTTGGGAATAGAAAGTAATCACAGGGAGACAAATCTGGGTAATAGGGTTGAAGGCAGAGAACACTCATTTTTTTTTGAGTTAAAAATTCTTGTTTTGATAATGTCTTTTGGGAACTCAACTCTCTGATGTTTTTGGTCATCAGACAACAAATGTTGTACAAACAGGCAAGCAACTTTTTTCTTGCCTAAATCTTGCACAAAAATGTTATTAACGGCCTCCCTATTACCACCAAAAATTTCCAGCGTAGGTTCAGGGGCCCTCTTATAGTGAACACAAGAGTAGACCCACTGCCTACCCAAAAGCATGTCGTAAGAGTAGACTAATTGAGAGCTTCATTCGAAGTCAGAGTGCATCTGCCTGAGAGGCAAGGAACCAGTGCATACAAATGAGTCAGATCTGTAAAATGGATAAACTCGCAGCACTCAGGTTCTGGAATAGGACTGCAGTCCAGAAGTGGATGAACAACTAGAACTTTCCGCCAGAGTTTACAGCTGGTGAACACGAAGAAGAAGAAGAAATGCACAAAATCCTAGGGTACATTGTAACCATAATAGCAAATGAAAATGCTTTGCCTGTTGTGTTTCTTCATTTATTTGACACATGATACTAGTGTTAAACAGCCTATAGATGTGTCGTGTCTCACACTGATGACAGTCTTAGCCTGACATAATTTGATTATGCTCTGAAGACATCAAGATCCAACGCTTTGTCTGAGTGGGTTTATTTCACTCAAGATACCAGTGTTAAACAGTTTATAGGTGTGTCATGTCTCACAGTGATGACAGTCTTAGCCTGACATAATTTGATTATGCTTTGAAGACATCAAGATCCAACGCTTTGTCTGAGTGGGTTTCTTCATTTGTTTCACACATGATACTAGTGTTAAACAGCCTATAGATGTGTCGTGTCTCACAGTGATGACAGTCTTAGCCTGACATAATTTGATTATGCTCTGAAGACATCAAGATCCAACGCTTTGTCTGAGTGGGTTTATTTCACTCAAGATACCAGTGTTAAACAGTTTATAGGTGTGTCATGTCTCACAGTGATGACAGTCTTAGCCTGACATAATTTGATTATGCTTTGAAGACATCAAGATCCAACGCTTTGTCTGAGTGGGTTTCTTCATTTATTTCACACATGATACTAGTGTTAAACAGCCAATAGATGTGTCGTGTCTCACAGTGATGACAGTCTTAGCCTGACATAATTTGATTATGCTCTGAAGACATCAAGATCCAACGCTTTGTCTGAGTGGGTTTATTTCACTCAAGATACCAGTGTTAAACAGTTTATAGGTGTGTCATGTCTCACAGTGATGACAGTCTTAGCCTGACATAATTTGATTATGCTTTGAAGACATCAAGATCCAACGCTTTGTCTGAGTGGGTTTATTTCACACGAGATACCAATGTTAAACAGTTTATAGATGTGCCATGTCTCACAGTGATGACAGTCTTAGCCTGACATAATTTGATTATGCTTTGAAGACATCAAGATCCAACGCTTTGTCTGAGTGGGTTTATTTCACACGAGATACCAATGTTAAACAGTTTATAGATGTGCCATGTCTCACAGTGATGACAGTCTTAGCCTGACATAATTTGATTATGCTTTGAAGACATCAAGATCCAACGCTTTGTCTGAGTGGGTTTATTTCACACGAGATACCAATGTTAAACAGTTTATAGATGTGCCATGTCTCACAGTGATGACAGTCTTAGCCTGACATAATTTGATTATGCTTTGAAGACATCAAGATCCAACGCTTTGTCTGAGTGGGTTTATTTCACACGAGATACCAATGTTAAACAGTTTATAGATGTGCCATGTCTCACAGTGATGACAGTCTTAGCCTGACATAATTTGATTATGCTTTGAAGACATCAAGATCCAACGCTTTGTCTGAGTGGGTTTATTTCACACGAGATACCAGTGTTAAACAGTTTATAGACGTGTTGTGTCTCACAGTGATGACAGTCTTAGCCTGACATAATTTGATTATGCTTTGAAGACATCAACATCCAACGCTTTGTCTGAGTGGGTTTCTGTGTTTACTTCACACAGGATACCACCAGTGTTAATTGTGAAACCATGTGATTTTTTAAAATAAAAATGGCTTTAAGGTTATAAAGTGTGACTTGAGGTAATATTGTAAGTGACCAGTAGCATATCAGTCTGAATGACATACATATCGGTAACTCACAGTGATGACAGTTGATTCCTGACAGTTTTACTGTACTTTGAAGACATCAACATCCAACGCTTTGTCTGAGTGAGTCTTATGTGAGTTTTCATAACACAGAGAGAAGAAGAAACTAAATTGTATAGATTTACAGCAGGGCTTTAACTGAAAATAAAATGATCAGATATCCTGACCCATACAGACCTGCAGATTACTACAGCAACCTGGTGTAACCATTTCAGGTGTCATGATTGTAACCTCTTAGGAGGTGAATAGGGTAACTGGGATTTAATCTGTTGATCTTCCGCCCAGGCTGAGAATTGGTCTCAGGGGTAATAATTTTGATATCAGCTTCGAGAGGAGAAAATGGAGAGAGAAAAAAAAATAAGCACTGCAGTTAAAAAAAAAAAAACATAAAACATATCTATAGATGGCATAAGTATGTTGTATACATTTGATACCAGTGTTAAGAGGCTTCTATTACATGCTATGTCTCACAGTGATGACAGCTGTATCCTGATATAATAATCTGATTATGGTTTGAGGCCATCAACATCCAACGCTTTGTTTGAGTGAGGTCCTCATTTATTGAATGCATTCAATGGTTTTACCAGTAGTTACCAGGGTACTACTCCACCCCAAAAGGCGTGGCTTACTCCATATTAATAAAGTATTTTCTTCTTTTTGTGTGTTTCTTGGGGTGCCCACTCAACAGAAAATATAGTTGGGTGGTCGAAGTGAGGTGGGGGTGTAAGTTGTGTTTTTTGTTGGGAGCAGTTGTATCTAGAAACCGGTAGTTTGGGCTATTTGTGAGTAGCTTTGCAGCTAGGCTGCGATAAGTGACAAGCATGTTGGTTGTTAATGGGGTTTAACAGTTTTTTTAGGGTAGTGTGCATGCGTGTGTTCCCAGCTTCTACTAATTAAAGGTAGTCTGTGCACAAGTATTGTGATGAGATGGGCAGGTTTTTTTTTAAAGTAGTAGTTCTTTGGTGAGCAGAAGCAGGTTGTCGTTAAACCCAAGCCGCTTCCAGCATACCCGTTGATATCACAACATTGATATTTTCTCTCTGCCGAGGTATGGGCTTAGCACCTGATGCCGTTTTCGGTCAGTGTCGCCTGACTCTGCACAGAATACATAATGATTACAATGCCACTGTTGGGACACCTTCTGCTACCCTTTTGTTCTCCTGCACGCACACACACACACACACACACACACAAACTTGAGAGTTCTGGTCTTGTATGATCAGCTAAAAAAAAAAAAAAAACACACAAAAACTGCCAATTACTGCCTGTTAGTTTGTCAAAATAAGATATTTTTTTGTGCCCCTAAAATGAGCCCAGAAAACTTCACAGGGATGAGAAATGTTATAAGGAGTTTAGTTACTTGCTTACGGTAATGACATCAACTCACAGTGATGCCAGTCATATCCTGACAATGTTATTGATTTGAAGACATCAACATCCAACGCTTTGTCTGAGTGAGTTTACCAATGGTGTAGCTAGACTATAGTCATCATCTTATTATTGAGCTGCACAGCCCAGCACTGTCCCTACTCTCATTCAAAGCTTTGTCGTCCCCTCCATACGCTGCTTCCAGCACCAGACATGGTCACTTACTCACCACATGTTATGTACTGCCAGAGAAAAAACAACCAACTTCTTTTGTCTGGCATCAAAAGGCAATCTCCAAGTGGCCACATAATTTTATGTGCTGTATTTCTATGTAATTCAATAATAAGTAACATTATTCCTGATATAATCATCTAATTTAGTCACTCCCATAGCCTTACAAGGACATTTAATAAATGTGGTTTCTGAATTTTAGCACTTTTTATTCTATTTAAAAATAGGCACTGGAAGGCATATATCAAAGGAGATGAATGTAATGAACATATTGGAAAGATAGCATCACATAAATTAAGAATATTAAAAACAGTATGAAGTGTTTTTGGCGGAGGTTGTATCTCGCTTGATGCCTGAAGTGGTACCAGAGGAACAGAGTCATCTTATGTTGGTACCAGTAACTCACAGTGATGACAGTCATGCTCTGACATTACTATTTCATGATTGACATCAACATCCAACGCTTTGTCTGAGTGAGGGCTTCGTTGAAATAGTTACTGGACGAAATGATCTTGAGTCTCATGTGATTTGTATACCACAGTGACTTGTGCACATGTCTTCTGCTGAATATGTTCAAGATCTCAATAGTTTAAAATTTCAAAGCTTAGACTGATTGAATGTTAGCATGGTAAAATTCTTAAACTTTATGCTAAAAGTTACATGAAAAAGAAAAGATCTATACCAGTAATGAAACTGGCTAACCTGACACCAGTGTCGCACATGTTTCTCACTCACAGTGATGACAGTTACACCCTGACAAAATGATTGACATCAACATCCAACGCTTTGAGTGAGGGCGTTGTTGAAATAGTTACTGGACGAAATGATCTTGAGTCTCATGTGATTTGTATACCACTTAAAGACTTAATGCATAACTGAAGGTCATGGGTTTGTTTCACGGCTGCACCCTTCAGTTCACAAGAGCAGAATTTTTGGAGATCCCTGGGGATTACAGCTGAAGGTACAGAGTTCATGCTATGTGAAGCTAGCTCTGCAGGCGGCTAGCCATTTTTGCAGAGAGAGACCGAGCCATGTGGGATAAAACCTGCTGCAATTAAGTCTATTCTCTCGACTTTAACTTTATGATCTTACTAGTTTAAACTTTTACTGTGGTAAAATTCTAAAACTTTATGCTAAATTTATTTGTGTAATAAAAACAATAAAACAAAAAAGCTTTATGCTAGTTGCGAAACTGACACAACCGTCACACAAATTTCTAACTCACAGTGATGACATTTGCATTCTGACAAAATGATTGACATCAACATCCAACGCTTTGTCTGAGTGAGGGTTTTGTTGAAATAGTTACTGGGTGAAATGATCTTGAGTCTCATGTGATAAAATACCACATTGACTTATGTAGTAATTTATAGTATTAAAGTGTAGGCTGTATTGAATTTTGCTGTGGTAAAACTCTACAACTATTAAAATGTTTATATATATAAATCTTTTAGAGGATGTGCATTGCAAAGGAAAACCTTTATGTCTTATGTCCAAAGAATAAGTTTTTGATTAATTGTAAAGTCAGATTTATGTTGAAGTTATATGTTTAAAAAAAAAAAAAACTTTCTGCCAGTTGCCAAACTGGATAACTTGACACTGTCGTACATGTCAGTAACTCACAGTGATGACAGTTACATCCTGACAATATGATTGACATCAACATCCAACGCTTTGTCTGAGTGAGGCCGTTGTTGTATATTGATAAGGGATTTCAGTATAGGATGTTTTTCGATACAATGTATCATGTTTTTCATATGCCTGTATGTCCAGTTTTCAGTTATTTGTTACTATGTTAATACAATATAACTGGCAGTGGTCCACGGGCCAAATGCTAGGCCTTCAGATTTGGCCTGTGGGCCGCCAGCTGAATAGCCCTGACCTAGATTGTGTCGTGGCCTAACACTTCCTGCCCGACTGACATTACATGTTTTAAGATCACCATTACTTTTATTTTGGTTTCTCTGGCAATGTGTTCATATGGCCTTGTGCTCACTGTGATGATAGATCCCTAACCTGACACAGATCACAGGTCTGTGTGTGCAGACACACCAACATCCAACGCTTTGTCTGAGTGAGTTTTAAATGTGAAGACCTTTGCATCTGTACCTATGCTCACAAATGCTTTTTTATTTTTTTTTGCCTCCTAACCCCAGGTGATATGAACGACAAATGAGAGAACCTTTTGGGTTGTGTGAGGGAGGGATTTATCCTCTCTCCCAAGTGTTATGACTAAATGATTATCAAAGGCATGCACTTGTGTGTGTTCCCCTCTTCCAGAGTGCTGTTTAAGCGTGTTTCCATTGAATCTCTCTTGTGGGTCCACCTGCACCTCCATGGGTTCAGTGTCAGAAGTAGTTGCCATAGGCATTTAAACATTCATCCCACTGCTTGGGAAGATGGTTATCTTTATCTGTAGCCTCCCCATGTCACTGCCTAATCCAGTGTTCCCTGTCTCATTATGTGCTCATATACAGAGAAAACAAACTATGACGCAGGCACACATGGCTGTGATGGGTTTTTTGCTTACAGATACTTCTGATAGTTTGTGACATTTACAACTTTTTTGTTTTGTTTTTAGGGTCAGTACTGGAAAAACTAATGGATGATCTGCGGCAAGAGATGGAATCAAACCCTCCCCTGCCAGGAGCATTTACGGCACGGAAGGGCGAGACATGTGCGGCCAGGTTCTCTCAAGATAACCAGTGGTACAGAGCTAAAGTGGAAAAGGTGGAAGGCGGCACTGCTTCAGTTTTGTTCATTGATTATGGAAATGTAAGTTTTCACATCTGTTGATTATGGGAATGTAAGTTTTCACATCTGTTCATTATTGTAATGTAAGTTTTCACACGTGATGATTATGAGAATGAGAGTATTCTCATCTGTTTATTGTGGCTGTTTCCAGTACCGCTTGATTGTGGATATGTGTAAGTTTCCAGTACCACTTGATTGTGGGTATGTGTCAGTTTCCAGTACCACTTGATTGTGGATTTGTGTCAGTTTCCAGTAACATTTGACTGTGGATATGTGTGTTTCCAGTAGGGCTGTACCGAATAGTGATTTTCACTATTCGGCCAAATACGAATAGTGATCAGGTGCCTTTCCGACTGGTGTGAGCGATCATGCCACAATCTCCTGCAGCATGTATCAGTTCGTGTGCTGACACACCTCCATGCCATGCAACAAGACTGTCAAGAATCTTATCTCGTTGTCTTACCCTATCCTTCCTTCCACAGATCTTTCCAGTGGGCACCAAATGTTCCATTTCCCCTCTTCTCATAACATGGCTGAAAAATGACAACTGTCTCCTTCTGATGTCTGTGATTAGTTGTCTTCGGGCTCCCGCCTCTTTCAAAATCATTGCTCGCTCGGCCGTTCGTTCGATGTAATTTAAGCACACCTTCATATTCTCGTTAGCAATATCTTCAAATTTGATTTGGGCGAAGACACCCTGAAAGAACGAAAAATGCATGATCTCTCTCTCTCCCTCTTTCTCTCTCTCTCTCTCTCACACACACTGCAGTTGGCATTTTATGCAGTTTGTACCACGCAATCGAGTAGCAGTTCCCCCCGCTACGGCAGACTTAGGCAACAGCAATGATTGTGTTAATGAGAGAGTTATTTCAGTCCATCACAGTGTATGCAGAAACGGGAGTAAGGAAACCACTATTCGTATTCGGCCCGACTGCAACTATTCGGCCAAATACCAAATAGTTATTAGGTCCACTATTCGGCTCTGAAGCGAATACAAAGCGAATATTCAGTACAACCCTATTTTCCAGTATCACTTGATTGTGGGTATGTGTCAGTTTCCAGTACCACTTGATTGTGGGTATGTGTCAGTTTCCAGTATCACTTGATTGTGGATATGTATCAGTTTCCAGTACCACTTGATTGTGGGTATGTGTCAGTTTCCAGTATCACTTGATTGTGGATATGTATCAGTTTCCAGTACCACTTGATTGTGGATATGTATCAGTTTCCAGTACCACTTGATTGTGGGTATGTGTCAGTTTCCAGTACCACTTGATTGGGTTTTTGTATGTTTCCAGTACAACTTGATTGGGTTTGTGTAAGTTTCCAGTACCACTTGATTATGGGTTTGTGTAAGTTTCCAGTACCACTTGATTATGGGTATGTCAGTTTCCAGTAACACTTGATTATGGGTATGTGTCAGTTTCCAGTACCGCTTGATTGGGTTTGTGTAAGTTTCCAGTACCGCTTGATTGGGTTTGTGTAAGTTTCCAGTACCGCTTGATTGGGTTTGTGTAAGTTTCCAGTACCGCTTGATTGGGTTTGTGTAAGTTTCCAGTACCTCCTGATTGGGTTTGTGTAAGTTTCCACTACCGCTTGATTGGGTTTGTGTAAGTTTCCAGTACCACTTAATTATGCAGTGGACCATAGCTGTCTACACATCTCTGTGGTCATCCTAGACACAGGTTCCCAACTGTGGGCATTCCAAGCTTAGATAGGATCAGTGTTTCAGGTCTGTTTGAGAGGTAAGGAACCAACAGTCTGCACACAAAATCTGTTACACACTTGTGCTTGCAAAACCCAAGCCCTTCTTGCGAACGACCAATGTTTAGAAGTGGATAAACAACCAGGACTTTCTGCCAGTTTAAAGCTGGTGAAGATTTTGGCAATTTAAGTTTTCATGTCTGCTAATTGTGTAGAAAGTAAATATGTGCATCCTGTTGACTACAGGAAATGTAATTTCTTTACGTTTGTAGATTGTGAAATGTTTGCAGTCATTGTATCTGTACAGTAGAGTCAGGTCTCAAACATCCTGTAAGGCAAGACTATTCATCTACGTTTACTCAGGGGACACACTTTTGGAAATAGGGATTGTCGTGGCCAAAGGCCCCAGCCCAGGCATGGAAAGCTCATTAACAGAATACAATGGCAATGATCGGACCCATCAAAGATGCAAACACCAGGGAATGAAGAGTGTGAAGCAACAACAAAATTCATAATCACGTTTGATCACTGGCATCATGAGAGCTAATAGACTGAAATGGTTAGGCAAATTGAGAGAATTTCAGATGACAGAGAAATAAAAACTATACACAAGGCAGACCAAGAAGACGATGGAGAGATAATGTCCAGGCAGACCTGCAAACAGTTGGTGTCACCAACTGGAAAGAGAAGGCCAACCAGAGAGATGAATGGAGGTGGGTGATATCTGCAGCAATGAACCTCAAAGGCTCGGAATGCTAAAGAAGAAGAAGAATGGCAATGATCGACAGGCCACTTGCTAGGCCTCTATGTGCCCTGCTGTAAGGGATAAGCAACTAACTTAGTATATTATTCACATGCAGAAAGCTAGTGTTCATCCCTGAGATTTTGTTGTGACATGTTTGTTGCTTTCAGAGAGAAAAGACATCTGTGTCGGGCCTGGCAGCTTTACCAGGCAGCTTCAGAACACTTCCTCCACAAGCCACAGAATATGCTCTAGCCTGTGTCGCAGTACCAAATGATGTAAGTGGTGCTAATGCCTTGCAGGAGTGTGTCCTTTATGGTTTTGTCTTTTTAGTCTTCTCATTTACTGGCTATAAACTGCAAAAGTTTCTGGTTGAGTTTTATGTGTACTTCTGTTTTATACATTTGTGTATGCAGGCTGTTGGTTATTTGTCTCTTATGCAGATACGCTTTGACTTTGAAGAAAATACCCCTAATTGTAGAATTTTACGATTTGGGAGGGGGGGGGGAGGTTTCTGTTCTTTCTCACCCCTCATCCCCACCCCTCCCCAAAACGAGGTCCTGGATTCTGCATGAGGATACAGTTTGGTGTACCTTTCATTCTCACCCTTCCAAACATTTTTTATGTGCTGAGAGGACCTACTTCATAAATCATTTCACTGTGTTTTATCCCACCTGGCTTAGTCATTGTCCAAACACACAGGCTGACTGCTGCTGAGAACATTGTACAAAATGCTAATGCTGTAGCTCTGCTGATGACCCCCCTCACCCAGGTTTTCTGATAAAGTTTCACTTGTGTGAGTCAACAAGCACAGTCCAAAAACAAACCAGAATCTTTGGGGCATAGTGCAGACATTTTGCCGCCCCAGCACAGACTTATAATTTGTTGACTAGACTCTTGTTGCAACCACACATTGAAGTGAAAGTCTTGTGTGTTCCAGTAATCTCCTAGACTCTTGTTGCAACCGCACATTGAAGTGAAAGTCTTCTGTGTTCTAGTAATCTCCTAGACTCTTGTTGCAACCACACATTGAAGTGAAAGTCTTGTGTGTTCCAGTAATCTCCTAGACTCTTGTTGCAACCGCACATTGAAGTGAAAGTCTTGTGTGTTCCAGTAATCTCCTAGACTCCTGTTGCAACCGCACATTGAAGTGAAAGTCTTGTGTGTTCTAGTAATCTCCTAGACTCTTGTTGCGACCACACATTGAAGTGAAAGTCTTGTGTGTTCTAGTAATCTCCTAGACTCTTGTTGCGACCGCACATTGAAGTGAAAGTCTTGTGTGTTCTAGTAATCTCCTAGACTCTTGTTGCAACCACACATTGAAGTGAAAGTCTTCTGTGTTCAATCTCCTAGTGTTGCAACCACACATTGAAGTGAAAGTCTTGTGTGTTCCTAGTAATCTCCTAGACTCTTGTTGCGACCACACATTGAAGTGAAAAGTTCTAGTAATCTCCTAGACTCTTGTTGCAACCACACATTGAAGTTCCAGTAATCTCCTAGACTCTTGTTGCAACCACACATTGAAGTGAAAGTCTTGTGTGTTCCAGTAATCTCCTAGACTCTTGTTGCGACCACACATTGAAGTGAAAGTCTTGTGTGTTCCAGTAATCTCCTAGACTCTTGTTGCGACCACACATTGAAGTGAAAGTCTTCTGTGTTCCAGTAATCTAGACTCTTGTTGCGACCGCACATTGAAGTGAAAGTCTTGTGTGTTCCAGTAATCTCCTAGACTCTTGTTGCGACCACACATTGAAGTGAAAGTCTTGTGTGTTCCAGTAATCTCCTAGACTCTTGTTGCGACCACACATTAAAGTGAAAGTCTTGTGTGTTCCAGTAATCTCCTAGACTCTTGTTGCGACCACACATTGAAGTGAAAGTCTTCTGTGTTCCAATAATCTCCTAGACTCTTGTTGCGACCACACATTGAAGTGAAAGTCTTCTGTGTTCCAGTAATCTCCTAGACTCTTTTTGCGACCGCACATTGAAGTGAAAGTCTTCTGTGTTTCAGTAATCTCCATGAACTGTGACGATTGTAGCACAGCTACTGGCTAGGGTCTCCCATGTCAAGACAGGTGAAGGCATAGGGACCACACAAATCTCTTTCGAATTGTCTCCACCTTGATGTGATAGAGGGGCCTGTGAGTTCCAGTGACCCAGTAGTTGAGCTGCTGGTAGGTCTTTGATTTCAGGCAAGTTAAGGAGACTGGATAGGAGCCAGATGAAAAGACACAAATCTTCTATCAAGGTATTCTCAGTTCACTTGGTAGGAAAAGCATCCATATATGTTTGTTTTCTAGAACAGCTTTATCATTTCTAAAGAACATTTTTTCTGACAGGAGGAGGCCAAACAAGACGCTGTGGATGCTCTCTACAACGACATCCTCAACAAGACCATGCTGCTGAACGTTGAATACCGCGGTGGTAGCGGCTCGCCAGACTTTGTCTCCCTGAAGCATGCAGAGACAGAGGAGGATGTTGTCACAGGGCTTGTCACAGAAGGGTATCTCACTGTAGAGCCTCGCAAGGAGAAACGCCTGGCCAAGCTGGTGTCTGACTACCAGAAGGCTCAGGAGGAAGCCAAGCGTTTGAGGGTAAGCTTTTTATCTGTTGATTATGGCTTAGGGGTTTCAGAGTTGGTTTCAGACACCTTCTTCTTTTATTAGCTTCAAAACCATTTGCTGCATCAGAAGACAAAATCGGTTTCAGGCAAACAACAAAGTAGAATCTGCAGGAGATTTGGTAGCAGATCACTTTGTGTTCATTTTTGACAATGGTATAAGTGTTGTTCCTTTCATAGGGCAAACTTAAAAGGTTTGTTGCATATCCTTTTAGAGTTGTGGTTCTCAGTCTATGGGTTTTGTGAGTCGAACAAGCGTTTCACAGGGGTTGCCTAAGACCACCGGAAAACACATATTCACTGAAGTTATAAAGTAACAATGGAAATAATTTTATGTTTAGGGGTCAACACAACTGTACTCAAGGGTTGCGGCTTTGAAAAGGGTGAGAACCACTGTTTTAGAGAATGTTAGAATTCAACCCAGCATTTGTTAGCTCTCTGGTTTTGCTGGGCAGTTTTTATGTTAAGTAGTTTGTGACTGCTTACTGAACAGTCAGTCCTTGATACCATTGTTTAAATCAGTGCAAAGTTGTCTGTTGCTATATCGGCTGCCGGAATCAAACTAGGCACCTGAGAATTACAAATCACACTCGCATAAACTGCTAAACATGTATTATCTAGTGTACCCACAAACAGCCAATAAATTATGTAGTTAGTTTAGAATATCTCGAAGGGCAGCTCCCGAACTTTACCAGTTTGTTTTTACAGAAGATACATGACTTCTGTTGCTTAGCTACAGGAAATCAGACCACAATATCAACAGTTTAGCTAGAGTCTGGCAACCTGAGATCTTCAATATAGGACCTGTGAACTCAGATCACAATTTTAAGGGATCAGTCTCACTGATCAGAATACACTGTGGGCGGTGAACTGTTGTAACTCTGGAGCACTGAAGTAGGAGTCCAGAGCACATCCCAAAGACTGCCAAGCTATCTTCTTCTTCATCTTTGTGTTCACCTGCTTTAAACTGGTGGAATATTCTGGGTGCTCAGCCACCTCCGAAGAGTTGCAGATATTATATTTGTTCTCATAGGGAGTTGTATCAAATGTATATATTTGTACATTTTAGCTAAGCTTGCCTGTTTTATTTACAAAACAAAAAAACCTAGGTGTGTCATCGTTTATTATCTGTGCTAAAAGAACAATTATGTGGCAGACACACCTCTTATAATAATCTCCTATTTTTCCCCAGAAAAACCTCTGGCGATATGGAGACTTCCGAGAAGATGATGCTCGTGAGTTTGGCTACACGCGCTAACGATTGTCAACGGCTGCGCAAACACAAGTTCATCATAGTTTTACAATAGCTCATATCTTCCAGGCCCATGTATGCAACACTTTATAAGATCCTAGAAAACTGTAATTTAGACAGAAAAACTAGTTATTCTTCAGCGAGTCGACCATATCTGTCTGCCAATTTGGTAACAGTAAACTTAATGTTACCAAATGCATTTTTTTTTTTATTTGTGAGTTTAAACCAGCATTTATTTGAAGTAACTAACAATCAGATGCTTCCCAAGGTTGCATAAAATGTTTATTAGCAGAGTTCTTATTTGTTTCATATGAAATTTGATTTAGAATTTAGGATTACGTGGTGATATTGTCATTCTGAAATGTGCTTGTGTTGGTAAGAAGGTTTAGGTTTCAAACACATACATGGGCTGGAAATATGTGCAGATGTCTCCTACACAAGTTCTCCATAGGAATTTTAAATTGATTTCAGAGAGTACCTGTTATTTATGTATGAGCTCTTCTTTTTGTGAATACAGTCAGAAAAATATACTTAATTTGTTGATTATGGTCTGAATTCTGAAATAATCAATATATTTCTTCTTTTGTGTTTGCCTTTAATAGAATAGCTGGCACGGCACATTGTGGTTCAGTGCTACGTTGCCATCTCTGCGCCTTTCAACCAAACAACTGTCTGATCTCAGCAAGTCCCCATTAGTCACCCTTTCAGTCATGCTTGTTACAGAAAAAATGGAATTAGAATCCCTCCCCCAGTGGGGCCTTGGAACTCATGCATGGAATGAATATTCATTCACGTCTTGTTAATTTTGATGGGCTTAGAGACCCCTGTGTTATTGTGCTTTGCAAAGTACACAACACAAACTGTCGGTAGAAAACTTAACAGATTAGTGATTAAAAAGGATTATCATCACAGCAATCTGGACAGATCCGTAGGTGCTCCGACTAAACAGAGAAATTAGTTAAGGCATACAGATACAGCCGAACCTTTCAGCCAGAGTGTTTATCAAAGTGTACCAATTACTGCACAGACTGACTAAAATTCCACGGACAAGACAACAAAGCTTGAAGGCAACCAGGGTTAAAAGGAAACCCTAGAGATGTATAATATAAAGAAATATGGTGATGAAGGGCTATATTGCTAAACACCCACAGCAAGCCCACATTTTCTCATTTGTGACAAGGCAGTTTTTAAAATAAGGATGTAGAGCACAGGGTAGACCAATTTAACAAGTACATTAGAGACACTCTTCAACAGTACAGTGCATCAGAATCTCCCTTGACACGCAAAGCAGAGGAGGAAATAAAGAAGAATGTGAGCCCCACCTAAAGGACTTCTGAGACACAGCCAGCTAGAGACATAAAAAGGTTTCTGCATTGTTTGTTCAGTTGAGCTTAGGTTAAGAGATTTTTTTTTTTTAAATCATCAAAATATTGTGCATATTTTCTGACTGTATTTGCTGTCTCTATGGTAATGGGAATCAAAAGCATTTGGCACAGCAGATGTTTCTGCACCTTCAATGCATTTTAATTAATTATACATGTGTTAGTCATTCCTAGTCTAAGAAATGACTGTTGACAAGAGACAGTGTTATGTTCCTTTTGTCTTTGTTAAAAATGTTTTCATTTTGTCCCAGAATAAGAAGAAAAAAATATAGTTTAGTTTGTTGGAGGATGCAGAGAAGTAATATATGGAATAAAACTGTTTGTGCCTGATGTATGAAGTATATCATTCTTTGTTGATGCCTGATGTGTGCCTTTCTTTGTTGTTGTCTGCTGTGTGCCTTTTTTTGTTGATACCTGCTGTATGGTGATCTTTGTTAATGTTGTTCTTTTTTATGTCTGATGTTTCTTTGTTGTTTGTCTGCCGGTCTTTGTTGACACCTAATCTTTGCCATTCTTTGTTGATACCTGATGTGCCCTGTTCTTTGTTGATACCTGATGCTTGTGAAAAGTATGCCATGCACTGAAAGCTGTTTTTTGGTCACTTCAAACTAAATCAGGTTCTGCGTGATGGTGAGGTACTGAACCAAAGGTTTATTTCGTTATTGCTCAAACACCGGGCACCTGAATCTATATTTTATGGTAGGCGTAAAGGAAAAGTTAAGACTTGTGTTGTGTATAGGAGGGATACCCTGTATCTTACGCAGGCACCAGCTGGTTTTACAGATTCTCATGCCACACATCCGTTTCATGCACAAAGGGCCTAAGTCTGCCTTAACAGAGATGCCGTGCCCAAATACCCTCTGGCATGTCTTGATCAAGAGCCCTACTAAATGGCCGTTTCAGAGTGCTAGTTATCCTGGCAATAGCACTGACATGTCCTTCAAAGTTAAAGTGCATCTGGCTGATGGGTAAGGACACAACAGACTGCACAGGTCTATAATATACACACAAACTTGAAGTTATGGATCAATGCCAAAGTCCAGAAATGGATGAACCAAGATTTTGTGCCAGTTTACAGCCGGTGAGTACAGGTGAGCGACTAGCTGCTTTGCTATTAAAGCTTCTAGGGTTGCCTTTCACTTGTCATAAAATGGACTGACACTGCATTACCTTTACTTTTCACTGTGACTGAAAAATCTGCAATTCTGTAGGGTTTGGGGGGGGGGGGGGGGGGGGGGAGTTAACAGGCAGACAGATTGGCTGGTTCTGCTCCACTTTGTGGTGACCACGATGTTATCAAGGCCCCTTGAGCTGAGGGAACTGTGGAAGCACAAAAAAAAAACCCTGTTCTGAAGACAATGATGCCACAGCAAGGTGTCGCATGGAGGAATAGCAGCAGCACCAGCTGGCAAGGCACTTGATTATGATAACACTATGGCTGGGATGATTTACTCTACACCTCAACTGACAATCTGATTTAATTTACGGTATGGCAGTATAGAAAGAATGCTTTTTGCTCTGTATTATGGCTGAATCATCTGAGAAGCTGTGCCTGAAATTTGAATTTACCTTACATTACACTAACACTGAGAATCAAACCACTACAATGCCTTGATAACAGGTGCTGCGGCTGAATGGCCAACATCTACATTATTGCTAAGAATGTACATGAAACCGATTGAGATTCAGATCTACTTTATTACACTATGGCTGCCGGGGTATTTTGGAGATCCCTAGGCGGTTGTTGCAGGAGCTGTAGAGCATGATGCTCTCAGTGGGTTTTCAAGTCACACTGGAGTGAGACTAAGCCAAATAGGATAAAACCCAGTGCAAAGAAGTAAATCCTATAATTTTTTTTAACATTTTCCCCCATCGTCCTAGAGTAGGAGGCATGATAATCACAGGCCATGGTGAAACCAGTTATGTATGGACAGGGATGAAGTTTCTCCTCTCCATAGCACAATCTCTGGGCACAGTACTGTAGAGACAGACAAACAGTTTATTACTAAATATCTGAAACATTTTCATTCAACAGGTTTCTTCCATACAATACAACAGTTTTCACCAATGAGAAAATATTTATCATAATTTGAAATTATGTCATAATTAGCCTAACCTAACGTGTTCGCAAGGAGAGAAATGTGATTTTGAAGGTAAAGATAAATTTACGATAGGTCTGGCAAACAGATTTAAATATCTGCATTGTGGTGCCCAAGAATTTAGGAGATATGCATGCAAGCTCTCCAAACAAGACCGGTACCGAAAAGGAAAATTATCTATATCTGGCTAGGCAACAAACAGGGAGACTGCAGAAGTGAAACAATGAACATTTTAGGTTTGGCAGACGACAGCAAAGGAAAGGCTGAGAAAAATATGGAATGAATGATAGCATCAAGAAATTAACACAGTAGAAAGAGCACATGGAGGGATCCTTGTACACCCCTCCAAACATTCTGATGAGGTAAACAGGAGAAGATAAAGAAGCCTGGACATACCAAATAGTTGGCAGTATGTTCACTGAGAAATCTATTTTTATTTCAACTCCCCTTGTCCCAATGATGTAACTCTTTGAAATTCTTATTGCTTTTATGTAGACTCACTGAGACAGTCTCAGTGTCATTATTTGTGTTGTTAATTCCCCGGAATGCAGAAGTGCTAAACCACAAGAGGTGGTGCACCTAGATGGGTCAAACCTATCTGTAGACAATCTAACTAGGATCAATGTTTCCTTCAAAGTCGGAGAGGCAAGGAACCAACAATCTGTAAAACAGATGTACACAAAAGGCTCGAAAAAGACCAAAGTTCAGAAGTGTGACAGACAACAGGACTTTCCACTGAGTTTTCAGCTGATGCTTGTTACAGAAATGTCTCTGACCAGTTCACTCTGACAGTATACTGCTCCTGGTCATTCGTGTTACAATGAAATTCCTGCCTATGGTATTACTGATGAACTATTCTTGTTAGTGTCCAATTGTCCTTATGTTATTGCTAAACTTCTCAGTCCTTTCATTTTATTTTAGTTCACCCCATCTCAGGAAACACGAGATTTCCCAGGGAAAGTCCAAAATATTAAAGTGACGTGAGCACTAACTCTCTATGATATTGGACTTACCCTTGGATTTCCCGAGATTGGGTGAACTAAAATGAAATACCAACTTCTCTCCTTCAGTTATTTCTTTAATCTTTGACAACTTAAACATTAATCAATTCAAAGTAAATAAATTGCGATAGAAAAAAAGTTAGGCAGATTAGTGTGAAACCAAAAACTTTGGCATTTCCCATCCCCCACCAAGTGCAGCCCTAGAATCTACAAATAAAGGGTAGTTTCGGGGTCATAAGTTGGAATGAAAAAAAAAATAGACTTTCCCTTTACAAATATGTAATAAAATGTCACATATTAGGGATTTGTTGAAGTCGAATGTGTTGATGTGAATTCAGAAAAGAACTGTAAATACCCCTGCAATAAATGTATACTGCTCCACCTGCCAAGAAAAAGAATTCTACTATAGGCTAGGCATTCTGTGAGCCTTTAAAACAAGGAACTTGAATGTAAGTGAGAATGAATTAGGCCTCATGTCCAGTATGGAATATCCAGCTGGTGATGTAAGCCCTAAACATAGGCTG